ACCGCAGACATATTTACTAAGAAAAAACACAAATAAGGGACTATTTTGAAGCAAAGGACACTAATAGGTTTGTAAACATTATAACATCCTTGAAATAAAACTAATACTTCAGATTTATTACTATAGATCTCATTATTATTATTTCCTTCTTCTCAAACAATCACATCAATTAGATTAACAATTCGTCAGAAGGTTTACATGTCATGTCATGTTTAGATACAGAGTGCCTCTTCAATATATTTTAACTCCGTAACTGCAATCCGGTTACTCTGACACACAAACCCGGTGCACGTATAACCGATACTGTAATTTAAATTTAACAGATGATGTTACAGACTAAACATTAACATAGTATTTTGTATATAATCATTTTGATGATACCTTTATTTATAACCTTCAACTAATTACATTTTATGCTTCACACATGAATACATGAACAATAACAAACTACTAAAATCATCAGCTTATTTTAAACATAAAATATGTTTACTGTGTAGACAAAATAAGAGGATATACATCGTGAGCTGATTTCTCATTTCAGATTGTGTAGAAATATTTGAATGGTTATTTTGTTCCTAACAATTCAAGCTATACATAGTTCTTGTTCTGCGAACCTAGAGTGTAACATAATTGGAAGATTTGTTTACGATTATATAAAATATTGTATAGCATTGCTTAATCAAAATTTAAATTAGAGATTCATTATTATAACAATTAATTTAGTATATAAAACAGATACTGACTGAAAAAAGGCTTTACACTCGAAAAGACGAAGTTGAATAATTATATAAAATATTTTTAGTTTTATATTAATCAAGTGCACTTAATTTTTTTTCATACATTGTATGTTAATGCAAAGTGCTGTATTAAAACATTGTTTTTAATATACCGTCATATAATTTAATAAATCACATATTTTATTACCGCAATACATTTTGTTTTGTCTTACCATATATAAATTGTATATAAAGAAAAAAATAATAAATTAGGAGTAATAAGACCGACGTTAAATAAAACTTTAAGTACTTTTGTATTATTTTGCCTTGATTGCTATAATACGTATTTAGTGGTCATGATATCTTAGTGCAGTCATAAAATATATTTCCTGAAACCGTATAATAAAAACCCAAATAAACGTTCTTTTAACTGACATTAATGCATATATTCTTTGTATGAATTTATCATTTGAATGAGACTATTAAGTATTAAAACAATAAACTCTCTGAACCTATAAATCAAAAGCAACTTTGTAGATTTTTAACTACGTAACAATTGTAGACTGTATTGCTATTACAAATCGGACAGGCGCTAGCAACATCGGTTTTTTAAATATTAATTTAAATGAGTTATTTTGGATTTCACTTAAAAATTATTTATATAGAGGCTACCTGTATTTTTAATAGAAACAGAATAATTGTAGGAAAAAGTTCATATATTTTAATGAATCCAAGTTATTACTAAAACATTTAATTGCCTTACATTCTACACGTCACATTGGTCACGCAAGGTAAATGTTACTAACGGACCCTATTGATACAATAACAATAATAAAAATACAAATTTACTAAAAATGTAGATTTTCAAAAGGCTGGAAGATATTTCTTTTATTATAATTTTTTAAAACCTCTAACAAAATTTACACAAAAATATGTTTTAATTTATATCCAACATAAATATTACGAAACGAAACGTGCCTTCTGGGCAGAAAAATATTAGAATTAAAATTATTTTAAGGGTTTAATGTATCTTGTTTTTTTTTTAAGATCTATGGACATTTATATCATTCTTTTAATCTCACATACTGTAGATTAAGACAAATTGTATCGAAAAGTATAAGCCCACCCATGCGTCAATAAATTTCGTAAACGATTCTCCGACTCACCCTCTTTTCCCTCAATTATTTATTGATCTGAAACACAACCGGTGTTTTAACTTTCATTCATTCATTTATATATGACACCTGGGAACCATTTGAACCGTTGAAATCATATAAAAAATTAACACCTGTTTTGTATTTCCGCTGACAGATAAGAACAATAATTGTAAATATCATTGTATTCTAGAGTAAGGAATAATTCAGCATATAATTGATTAATTATTATTGTATAAAATTAAAACTAAATAAGATTATTTATAATATGAAATCTTTTAACAGTCAAAATATCAAAGAACTCTCACTGACCATCTGAACTTCCGCATTGCGGTTGTATGTATGTTTACTTAGTAATGAATAAAATCTGTATCTATACAACTTTATTGACAGACAGCTAGATACATATTTTTTTAAATGGCTTAAGTAATAAATCAGTACACAAATTTTAAAGGAACCAGTTTTGATATCGTTTATAACGTTGTCAGGAATCAGTTCAAGCAATGAAAAAGATTCCTAATTATATAATACTGTGAAATTGGAAAAGAGAAGTATATTTTTCTTATATGTATTTTAATTTTACTCAGCTAAACATATTATATTCAAAATATTAGATTGCATAACGATGTCATCTAGTTAGTAAGGATAACATTCTATAAGACGGTATAACTGATAAAAAGATCAGCGGATAATACTACAATGTAACTACTAACATTAAATAGGATAAGACGTGTTTTAAAGTTCTTATAATACAGTTTAGAGTAAAAAAAAATATTGCTAGAACTACAGATTAAAAATATTCTTTATAAACTCAAAACTAACATCTAAACTGCCAATAAGCAATCGAATATTGGAATATTAGAACTAAAATATTTCTAAATAGCAAAGAAAGTATGAACAAATATTATATTATAACAAAAATAAATAACCACTGATAAAAACATTCATTATTATAAGCATTACTTTAAATAATAATCTCTACTTACATTTTGACATCGTGTCGGACCGTATTCGGCGCAATCACAATCAGCAAACCTTTGAACAAATTAAACAATTAATATAACAAAATAGTACAAAGCGTTATCACAATGCTAGTACGTATTTTAAACTAGAACGGTGCCAAGTTACCCAACATACGATAATACAAATTTTGTTACAATATCTTACGAGTGCATTTAATGTTAAACTATGTAAATAATTTCTATATGGTAATGATAATTTATATTATTCAAACTATATCGTACACATCCGTTGAATATGTAGAGGACAATGGTTTTGTTTTCAACATAGCTACCTTATTTTGTACTGCTATAGCCTTAATAGGAAAATAATTATCCAAAAAAATATTACCATTCTAAACACAGCTTCCAAAGTAATTACTGTAACTGACCCGTGTTTCATTTTTGATGCATGTATCCACCGGAAATAAAATTAAACTTTATAGACTGATTTCATTTTCGAAGACAGATAATGGTGACGTTGTCTTAATGTCACTGAGTAACTTTTTTAATATATAGAAGATTACCCAGTAAATAATTACCAAATCGAGTTTGCTATATAAACTTCATACTGTAAACGATAATTTTGTTTTAAATTATATCAAGTACGATTGAAAAACCACGCATATTTGTTATGCAGTGGTAGGAAATAATGCAGAGTCTTATTTCCATATCCGCTAAACAATGTCAACAACTTATAAGCCTAAATAGAACATAGTTTCTACGCAACAACTACTCAAATATCACAGTTTAGCAAGCAGTGGAACAGTAAATAAAGGCTTTGATGTATGTTTGTCTATTTTATTCAATATATAGGACAGGTAAAATAACCACAATTATATTTAAACATGATTCAGTTTACGTCAACAATAAAATGTAATAAATTTAAAAATATTTTAAAATCATAATCTTGTTAACATTTTTTTTCATATCTTATAAAAGGTAACAGATTTCAAAACGGATTATTTGAACAATTTGATTGTAAAAGGATTATTGGATAATTCTTATTTGGAAAATAAGGACGATTGATGGTTGAGTCTTAATAACGAAATTTCATGTAAAACTCAATTTTTAATATTTTTACTGTTGCAAAATACAACAAAAGTATTTCAGGTGTACTTTAATTACATTTAATTATATATTATTATCGTATCGAATACGATTAATAAGTCTTATATGTATATTTTTAACTGAATAAATGTTGGGTAATAGAGCTGCTAGCAAATGGTACTAGTTTGAAGTGTAGCCCTTTTAAAAATGGTAGGGAAAACAGCCTCTAATTATATAGAAGGCATCGTAACAGTTATTATATAAATAGATTTTATTAATATAAATAATATTAATATTAAATATTAGAACAAATTCTTGTCATTTACTCAAAAATATACGTTACAAAATCGGATGTATTGTATGTTAAAATTGTATGTATTTATGTAAAATTTCCACTTACAGTTATATAATAAAGTATCGAAATAGTCATCCACATGTCACACAGAAAATTAATATTATTTTGACGTTCACACAAAATTTATGATATTTAAAGCTGCGGTTATCTTCTTAACTCTTTTTACTTATATAGGAAACTAACTTATTAATAAAATCACAGATTCAAATAAGAAGGAGTAATGGGCGCCCATACGGGGCCTAACGTAACTCTGGCCGTACTTCCCCATGAAACACCACCATATTTCACCCCTAAATCGTTTTACGCATGCGTTATTTTAGGTTATCATCCCTCTCTGTTACACTTATATTATGGCGTAGTGAATAAAGAGACAGACATGCGCACTGTTATTGATAGAAATAAAGCTAAAATGATTTTATGGTACCCTGCATTTGTATACGCTTTAATATAAGAACCAATTAGCAATTATATTTACCAATACAAATAGTGCTATTAGTAAAATAACAATTTAGTATAGGTACCTCGATTTAAGTAAAATTCCATTTAAAATATCTAAAAATCAAACCAAAAATTAAAAGGAAAGTTACATATATTTGACGCTATCAGTTGAATATCAACATAAGATAGAATAGATTTATAAATTTATTAAAAATAATAATTCTTCTTTCACGAACATATTCGGAAAAAATATATGAAATAATTAATAAAACTCAAAAGCGTCATCTACCTAAATACCAACACAATTAGATCGCCCTGGGATATCCGAAGGCTTATAGTGTGGCGGATCTGGTTTGGGACCGACTCTACTGCGCAAAGCCTTCGTTAGATGCCAGCACCTTCCGTAAAGAGGTTTCTGACGTAACTCACTATCTTTGAGACGCCAGCCGTACTGGTTATTGCTACATTCAGCGAAGTAATATTTCTTCTCTGGGCTAACTTTCGCTCGCTTTGCTAAGTACGTGTCTTTGCCGAACTCTGGTTTTGGTTTGTAAATAATCTCCGTTACTTCTGGTTCGACTGGACGCATTACAGGATCAATGGAAAGGTCTGTGTTTGGTCTAGTAAGTCTTGGATCGTCACCGTCAGCGAGCCCAACGTCAATAATAGAATGGCCCTGTCGAAGATTTTCGACTCCTGGTATAAATGTCCCATCGCGTAACGGTTTCTTGCGTCTATTGTATCCTGCCACGATATGGTCCCTTGTTATGGTAGCCAAGCCACCCACCATGTTGTGAGAAATAACATCGGTTTCGAAATAATTAGTTGGCTCTCTTGTTAATGTAGCGGCCTGTTGAATCTGATCCCAATGCTTATGAATCCAGTTCAGTCGCAATCGATTCTCTTTCTCATAATTTTCAATCAGAAAAATTATTACAGCCGGATTAGTTATATCAACCAAAGGCATTTTGATAAAATAATTATAATAAAATAGCAAAAACTTACGTTACGTCTTTCAATATGTAGGACGATAAAACAAAACTGATTAAAATACTAAAATTTAAAAAAACACATGTCACTGCACTGTCACGTGCCAAATGGCCAATCACAAAATAAAGACGGTGTAAAAATATCTCATGATGCCAACCAAAGAAACCGGTAATTCCAGATATTGCATACTTTCACTTATTTAACATTTAATTATCCCCAAAAATACGAAAACAACTAAACACAGATAACGAAGTTCATGCGCGCAATATACACAAACGGGCCCGCGGTGGCATAAAATTAACATAATTTAAAAATTAATGAGATGCACTGATTGCGACACAAAGGAACTAAAATATCATTGACTCCAATAGTATTTAAGACGAGTATATTGAGAAAAAAATAATTACTTCTATTTAATAAACATACCCGAACGTTTATTCCGCATAAAAAAAATCAAATCTACACAACCGCGACCTCTTTTTAACTATTAATGTTTATTTTCTGTGTCATACATTTAAATGGCCTAGCAATTTTTATTGGCTCTATAATTTATTCCAATAACCCATTGTCATTCTAATTGCAATGATAATTTCGTATTAATTATGATTTTAATATCACAGAAAACAAAGAAACTATATAAGAACAGCATGTTTATGACAAGAGTTTTTGTTAAAATTTTATATACATTGTGTATAAACCAGCTTTTTATTATTGTAATAAATTATAAACTTATAATTATCTTTAATGCTCCCATATCGTAAGTATCCAGATACAATAAATATCATTTCTTTATTAAAATTAAATATGCTTCAAAGAAAGTTAGTACTATAAATATATTAACAGAATTTTTTTATAGAACAGTCAAACGGAGAAAAACAGAAGAAATACTTAAAGTCCCAATATAAGCTAATATAACAGTGTACACAATAACACATTTTAAGAGAGTCAAAATGTATAATTTTACCCTTACTCAAAAGTCTTTAGAGGCGTTTAAGAGTAAGTATTTAAGGAAAATAATCATTTACAATGAAACAAGAAGTTAAATATAAAACGTTACAATGACCCCAACAATAAAATTTAAATCTACATATATCTTATGTTACTAAGAAGGGCTTGCCTTACCTCTTGTTGCGTCTTTTTACGTCAGATTCACAAGAACTTAGTATTTCATGTTTTTTAACGGTTATTATTCGTATAAGTAAGCTTAGGCTTAAAATGTTTATACAGAATTAGTTCTGTAGTATATAAAGTTATTCAGTATAAACATTTTCTGTGTAAAATAAAGCAAGAACAATGATTAATAGACCTAAGTTTGTTGTCGGGCCTGAAATTTTGGACTTAGTTGATTAATTATTATTGTAAATGACAAGACCATTGACGGCAACTTGTTAATAGTTCACCCTGATCATTTTCGCTATCACATTTTTTTTTAATATTTTTAACTACACTAATATCTACTGATCAATTTAATAAAAAAAATAACAATGAATTTACGAGTATGCGCATCTTATTATTCTACTAGAAACTTCACATTTTAATTGTAATGTTAAAAATAAATGTAAATGAATGATAATATGCAGAATCAGTAAAATTTTCAGTTTATATAATATGTATGAGTACACTATTGAAGATATCCTTATAAAGATAAATATTTTTTCTTTATATTAACCCTAATTTCATTCAAATCAAATAATTATGATTTTAGGAAACAAGAGACAAAACAATAAACGGGTACAGAATATATATTTTTATTATCGCCACTTCAAGTGAATAAAACAATATTTATTTCAAAATTTGTTTATTCATAAATAAATAAAATTTTTGTTTGGAACAAGACAACCTCCACATTATTCACACACCATACAACTCGTCATAGTGAATTACAATTATTAATTTTCTAATTATTTCTAATAATACTTACAGCAATCTTAAAAATTATGTTGTACATATTTCATTACCACAAGTAATTTGAGATTTTTTTTATATATATATGAAAATATTATAATCTGTATATAGAGAGAATGTTTCCAATTTGATTTTTCATTTACGATGGTACAGCAATTGGTCGTATTTCATCTGAAGGAATTATATCGTACATTAATATTATAACATAGGATACATTTTTTTATATGCTAGGACATTTCACATTTTCCCGCGCGTTTTACATCTTACGTCAAAATGACATTTACGTTTATCCTTAATTCGGCTCTGAATCTATTCAAAATGTATTATCGTAATAGCAATTATTTAAAGATTTTTTCTTTTGGATATTTTTAATCTTATTTATTATATTTTACAATATAATTATTTTTACTTTATGAAATAAATGTATGTTTGTATTTAATTTTATTTTTGATAATATTCAAAAAAGTTCTAAATGCATTAAAAACCGTATATTTATCTGGCTACATTAGCGAGATAATATACAATAAGACTGACCATATTGTTGTTTATAATCTACATAATATAAAATCAAAAAAACAAGATATTTTATTCAGAGCCGAATAAAACGTCCCTAATAATTTTAATACCTAGAGAAAGATCACGCAGCGGCTTGAAAATATAGTATTAATGCATACAATAATGTAATTGACTATTTAATGTTAGGTAATTATAATACATTTGGTTGAAATATAACTGGAATGGACATACGGCACCGTAACTGTCTATAAAACGCGAGGCGGCGGTTCCCGGACAGGACTAAACGAAATGTTACATATAATAAGTACTTACCAAAGAAAAAAACGATCGTTAATTTTGTCGTTAAACAAAAATGTTATTTACATAATATATTGTGCGACCAAAAACCATCATTTTATTGTCCACATAACACACGTCGAATATTAATTAATGGTCAACACTACGGTTAGACTAAAACTAAACAAAAATTATAATTATAAACTAGTGCATTTTATATGATCACAATACTAAAAGCTTGTATGTCAGGGGATATAACACGAGAGGAAGAAACAAAAATAATTTAGTAAAAAAAAAACCTAACTAAAAATTTTTGGTATGTTGGTCATTTATTTGCTAAATGTCACGACAGTTAGGCCCCGATATATATTGTTTTAATCTATGATTCACATGAAATATTGCATATTTCTGTCTATATACACTTCCCTTAACGTTAAAAAAAAACTAGCTCAACCACGTCGTAGGAATATAATGAGGTAAGTGTAATAGAACTCAAACACGTAGTACAATGTAAAGCTACTATTGATTCGTATATAAAAAAAAACTAATGCGATGATGGCAAACGGTAAACGAACCGAACGCCATGCGTCGGTCAAACTATCTAGACATAGTACATACTAGACATATCACACACACGACCAAATAAACACCAAAACAAACAAACATCATTCATTGGTCGATAACATTTTGGACGTTCTAATTCAATTCGTTCACTTGACATATTTTTGGATCTCTCGGTAATGTCAACGCGTTATTACATACAAGACCGACTACAGGATTCTCTTGGTTCTCGTACTTGGAATTCGTTTCAGATGATAGACTCACGGCCCCGCTGCTGTCAGCTTCGTATGGTTCCGTATCGTCCACGTGAGAGCTGGTGCTAGACTTGTCGTTCTTATCTATATGAGGTTGGTCTAGACTGTAGTCGAACTTCTCGTCGGTCTCAGACATTTCTATCCAATGAGCTCGATTGGACTTGACTCTATCTAACATCGGCTGTAAGGTTGGTGACAGCACCGCGAATGCCTGAAAGCGTTTCAATAAGTTGGAACAAAAGGTTTTTCGGTATATTGCTAAGTGGCTCATGTTTTTTTTATATATTGATATTCATTATTTCAGATTAAATATTTTTCCCAGCGATACTTTTTTGAAATAAATGTGGGAAATAGTAAAATGTAAAGCTAAAGAAAAAATATATATATATAATTTTAATTTACAAAAGGAAATTACCATTCATCCCTGATAATAAACTTCACTTCGTTGCCGAAACAAATTCTCTGTTATTGAGTTAAAACATCATCAAAATTAAGTCAGCCATTTCGATGACCACAAACAATGACAGTCGATTTCGGAAAACATCTTTTTTTAACCAAAAATATCCAAATAAATTATTTCTAAACCCCACTTCGATTGTATTTGTACATATTAATGTATTATATATTGTTTGTATTGAAATTAAACATTAAAGTATAGGATTTATAATTACCTCGTATATAGGAAGGCATATCGAGTCAATGAACTTCACTTGCATCGCTGGCAGTTGATCCTCTTTGTCTCTGTTCATTATGTCCTGATGAGAAATATAAAATTAATAAATATACTTAGGTACAGACTTACATAAATATCAAGTGTCAAGTTACAACACTAATTAATATAAGTTTTAAATTAATTAGTGTTGTAACTTAAGCTTTATTTAAATGAAACTAATAATTTTTGGATACATTACGCGGTTTTTATTTTTGATAAAAAAAACTACATACGATGTCGTATCCCGACGTTTCGGCTACTTTGCAGCAACCATGATCACGGGCAGATGACATGGGAGTAGTAGATGCGAAAAATATTAGTTTCATTTAAATGAATAATCGCGAATATCTTAGATCTCATTAAGCTTTATTTATTTTAATGTTATGAAATAGATATCACAAAGGTTGTTTCTATTCTTTTAACAAGTTACCATCATATGACTGCATCGGTACCATAACGTGTGAAGATTCATGAATTAAAATTTGAAAACTCGATAAAGATTTAATTAAAACAAAAAATATATGCAATGATAATACAATAGGTCTTGTACGTCGTAAACAGCCATACATTTTTTAATCCATGTGTCCATATACTGTATGTACGTATATAACTATACGGATATCCTTATATCCACAATATAGCCATACAGTCATCATACATCACTCTTATAATACTCACAATGGGTGTTAGATTGAGATTCTGTCTCTCGAGATCTCCCTGTCTGAAGAACTCTCCCGCGACTAGTGCCGCCACCCGTCTCTCCACGGGCCAGGGCTTTGTGATAGCTGCGAGGTCGCAGGCCGTCATACACATGGCTCGGAGCAGACCGCGACGACGGTCACACTCACCCCACAACGGGGACGCGCAACCATCACTACTGACCAGCTCGATGAACGCCTTGCGCTTACTGAAAATACAATAATCTTTATATATATAAAAATTTCGTGTCACGTGTTTGTCCGTGACGGACTCCTAAATTAATAAACCGATTTTAAATTTGATTTTGCATTCTGTGTGCATTTTGATCCAACTTGAAAGATAGGATAGCTTACATCTCAATTTATAGTCACAATATTATTTTATTGCAAATTATTTGTCTATTAAAGAAAATTATTTGTCGTTATTACAATTATCTGTTGACTGAGTTATGTAAGTATTCAATAGATGGCACTATGTTAAAAATACAAACGTCATATATGAGCGACTATTTAATAATAGCATAACCACCACTTGTTTCTGAGGCTAAGGTGTAACTTAAATTTATTTATTAAAAAAAGGTGATAGATATTTCTTGATTATAAGGCGATACAAAGTTCGCCAGGTCATCTAGTGTAAATATATTACTTGGTAGTACTCACGATGTTTTCATAAATAAATTACATTAAAACGATAATTAGAAGACAAATTTGAGAATAGTAATCACATGATTTAAGTCTGAGATAATAATCAATGGTCCCATCTATACTAATATTATAAAGCGGAAGAGTTTGTTTGTTTGTTTGTTTGAAAGCGCTAATCTCCGAAACTACTGGTTCAGATTGAATAATTCTTTTTGTGTTGGATAGTCCAGTTATCGAGGAAGGCTGTGGGCTATATAACATCACGCTACGACCAATAGGAGCAAAGATATAGTGGTAAATGTGTAAAAAACGGGAGAAATTATTTCATCTTTGAAGCCTTCCGTTGCGTGCGCCGTGAAAACGGTTCAAGATACACAAAAAATATGTACTAAAGAATAATAGCTCTTTTAATGATCTAAAAAACAGTCCGCGACAGTATATGTCTATCTTTTAAGATTAACTCACAAAAACCGTTTTTATTGTACCTAATTTGGTCGAAATAATTTGTTTAAGTTTTATCAACATAATAATATTAATCTTTATTCAAATAAACAAATAAATATGTTGTTGGTTAAGAGTACTTCATTGTGAATAAAAAAACATAGGTTTTATCCTGAAAATCCTACTGGAACTCGACCATTCCGAAAACCCCGCAAGAACGGGAGCTATGTGGGAAGAACCAAAAATCTGCCGGAGGTCACGCGGACGAAGTCGCTTCAAAAGCTAGTATAATATAAAATACGCCATTATACCACCTATTTATCCATATTTTACAACTGAATGAAAATTAACTACGTTTTTCCTTGTCAGGATATATGATAAGTTGTCCTCGTGAATTGAAAAGATTTAACATAACAAAAACATCAAACAGTACACAATTATATTAAATTGAGAAAATTTGAAATAAAATTAAACATTCATATAAAAAACGGTCCAATAACGATGAACGTAACATGAGCTTATACATATGTAGAAAACATTGATATATTTTTTTCCATATTTTCACATTTTATACTATCAATATGAAATACTCTAAATATGTACTTTATAAATAAAGTGAACCATATTCTTCTATACAACATTCAGTGTTTTGTCAAAGAGACGATATTTATCTACCTTTACAATAGAACGTCACTCTTGCGTCATTCTTAAAAAACTATATGATTATGAACGTCAGTAATTTTCATTATATTGTCACGGGTTCTTTATTATTTTTGATTATAATATACTATATGCGCTTTATTTAGAATCCACGTGACGCTTCTATTTCGTAACGTTCCAAGCGTGACGTCATATGTTTATTTTTATTCATAGTGACATGAATTTGATACGCGTTTAGAAACTGCTGTCAGTTTTGCTACTAACGTGATTGATTTTGAAACCATGGCGTCATGACGCGTCATAGGGTTATAAAAAATTGTATTAACTTAGTTAATTGAATAGATTTAAATATGTAGTAAAAACAAAATAATTTTCACAGAATCAAGATATTAATTTAAGGAGAAGTTGCATCGAAGGATCATAAAGCTTGTAATAAATATTAATACTATGATAAGCAAATGTAAAAGACAATTATATTAATTACCTAAAATATACCGCCAGATCGGTCGACAAGATGGCATCTTCCAGCACCTTGACAACCTTCTCATAATCTTCGGAGGATAGATTCGCCAAAATCTGGTTTCCAGGAGAGTTTAGGATCATGAGACATTGATCGAAGTGATGATGTTCCATGGTTGAAGTTGAATATAGCTGTGCCAAAGGTGATGAAGCCCTGGAAAAAATATAGACATATGGTAAATATAATAGGAACATATAATCATAATGATATATAAGATTTTCGCGAGTGAGAATCATTTAAATGAAAGTAATATTTTGGAATTACTTCGCGTATGTCATTACTTTTAACATCTCGACTGCCCGTGACCACGGTTGCTGCAAGTAACCAAAACGTCGGGTGTATGTAGTAAGCAATTCGAAAATATTAGTTTCAGATTATAATATAAGTATTGCATTTTCTGAATTTAATAAAAGTCAAATGAAATTAAATATTTCCAGGTGTAGGAGAATATTAAACGAGTTATTACTTGATCTGGAATGAGTTATTGGTCCCTCGGTGATCCAGGTCGTGGCACAGACATCCTATGATAAGAGCCAGACATTCCAGCTCACCGAAGATCTTCCACCATTGCGTCTCCTGGAAATTAACGAATTAATTATTAATTTTCATATAAGTAACTAACAAGTCCAAATAGATGATCCAAAATTCTTTTGGGGCTCCAAAAAAAAAAATGAGACGAAATAATAAAAGTTAAAGATACATTTCTTTCATTGTATCAGTTGACCAAAAAAATCACATTATAATGATTTTGGGGTTTCCATTTAACAATTTTGTTCTGAAAGCAAAAGACACGAACGTATTGTGTCTTCTCTTAAGCTGAATTACAGTAATCATAATATCGTATACGATGTAACATTAAAATTAAATCCGAATGATATTGTTTCAAATTAATATATATCAGCTTAATATTAAATATTATGGAATTTAGTCATACAAATAATACTCACAGTCAAAATGGCGAACATCATTTGGGCGACATTGAACGCGTGCCTCCAGTTATGGTATGTTACATTCCGATAGTTCTTCTTAACGCTCAACAACCACCGACAGAGGACGCCGTAGTCTATGTGGAAACGTTCCACGAAGTCTAGATCCAGGAACATCCTGAGACAGGCTTTTAGGGTGTCATCATCTGTCAGGTCGATGTCATCGAAGGCTAACTGATGAAGGTTGTAGTGGATCGACGATGGTATCCTTAGACTCTGTGAAATGTATAGCTTATTTGCTTTTTTGTATTCCATCTAGTAGAATTTTATAGAGAATCATTAGTTCTAAAATCTACTTTCACACTACGTCTTAGAATTTTTTGGAAAAAAATTAAGTCCACTTAAATAGAAACTACGACGAATTACGACGCGATATATACATAAAACATTTTATGATACGTAAATATGGAAAGGATAATATTTTTGGATTCTTCCTTATATATAAATGTGGTCACAGGTATGAAAATTAATTCACACTCAATAATATGAAGTGACAAACAATCAATACATGTTTCTAAGACGTCTCAAATATTTATAATTTCAATGACATAATATAAGATACACAGAATTCACGATGAAAATATATCATTCATGATAAAAATACATGTATGCCAGACGCGTGCGTAATTCAAATTCATAACAAATATCCTTTTACGATAACAAAGTCGTCGGTTCTCTCACCCGTAACCGCTGGGCGTCGTCTAACGAAGCGGACGCGTGGTAACTCAATACCTGAAACAAGATACATACAATACATACATACAATTATAAACACAAATTGATTTACATACAAATATACTAGCATTGCTTCTAAAACACTAGTAATAGTAAAAAATTAAACTTTTTATAATATAAAATACCAAAATATTTAAGCAATCACGAAAGTTCGTAATTCGTTCGTGATTAAAAAATGTCATTAAACAATTGGACAGAATCAATTACTCCATCAAATATTCTATACAAATATTAACTTCACGTCATATAAATAAATCATTCATCCAGTCATTCCATTATGTAAATTAATTAATCAATCAACGCGTTCGGTCATTCAATTTTTATGTTAATCTACTAACATCCAGAGTGACGCTCTGCTTGGCCATAGCTGTGATCGCCTTCTCGTACATGTGTGTATTGTGAATTCCCATACCGCAGAATATTGCGAACGCCTCAACGAAGTTCTCATCATTCTTCGTGAACAGAAGATCATCGAATTTATTGACGAGCTGGAATTATTAATGAAATAATAACACAATAGTTCATTCTTCTTTATATCATATAAAGTATTTATATATTCTATTTGTTGTTATGTTGAAATCAAAATTTATTCGTATGTTATGGACGCATATTCGTTTCAATCAATGTTATGTTCCGCTTTGATCATTTATTCAAATGTATCACTCGTACTGAAAATAGCTATATGTGAATATGTTTTACAAGCTTTTATTCTGCTTGCAGATTGGTCAATAGGAATATTGCAACTCAATTTTGAACCAAATAACATGAAACGATTGGATTGTAATTTAATATACACACATAACTTGGACAATAGTGTGTGACGTTCATTCTATATCTATAGGAAAACAACCAAGATACAGGTTATTTTAATGTTACCTATATTGTTATGATATAAGAGTTATAAACATAAATAAAAAAGATTAACCCAAAATTACTGATAACATTTCATTTTCCTCTAAAAAGTACCTATTTGCAATTTTAAAGTAACAATTTTTGTCAATTTATTTCTATCAGTCAATTTTTGAAACGGTTAGACGAATTTTCACGTTTGCTTTGCTTAGAGACAACTTATGTTAGAAAAGAACAAAATATTCTTATTTAATATTAAATATACTAGTAATACCTTAAAATATCAAACAGACTCTGTTGTAATGTTGAACAATACGAATAAAATATAATGAAAAACTTTACAATCGGTTGAAAATAAAAATACGTCTTTTAAATTCAATATTAACTAATTAATAAGATGAAATAGACGCCCCTTAAAAATACATTCAACTTCTAAACATCGAAGGTGAACATTTCTGAGTTGAATTTTCTTTTAATTGATAGACGAGCATGAAACAAATTTATAATTAGCATAGCAAATTGAATAGCGTCGCTAGAATTTGTTCGAAAACTCCGTGGGAGTTAATTAAAGAAACGCTACAAAGACCTTTTGGAAATTCGAAGCGTTAATTTCCACATCGATGTTTAAAAGTTAATTGGTGGGCCGAGCTAACGCGTATCAAACGGGTTTGGTGTTAACGAAAGCACCAATAATTACTGCCTAAATCCTTTTCGAACCGATGAAAATTGCTGACGATATATGATTTTATATGATTCAATAATATACAGCTATATATTTATGTTAATAAAACTTTTACAGAGAACTTCTTAATTAATTAAAATTGTTTACTTACTCTGTTTAAGGTATTAATTAAATTTGTATTTGGATTATTACATTTTATTAAATTAAAAGAATATTAATAAATAAATATGATAATTGTATGAATACAAATGTGTTAAAATTATGATAAAACTTATAAAGTACATATTTTTCAATGATTAAAAGGTTTAAGCATTTAAGCATTAATGAGTTTTCAAGTTATAAATACGGTGTTATTTTTGGTTCATTAGTAACTAGGTTTTGCCTTCAGCTTTGCTTTGCGAAAAAGGTTTCTTATTTCAGGTGTGCATCTCACGCAAATTCTAGTAACTTTTTATAATAACCCATAGTGCTTGACGACGTAAGTGAAAAGAATATTTATTTTGATTGCGTAGTTTATAACATAGTGAGACTTTTTATAAACATTTAAAAGAATTTTGACGATAGAAATATAAATATTTATAATTATTTGTTATTACGACGGGTTTAGAACTTGAAGTTAAGATCAAACATATATATACATATATAGTAGGTAACTACAACTTATATTTTTTTTGAAGATGGCTTTCCAGTAACCAAACAAAGCTATTGAAAACAATATTTATCAGCAAATATAACATTTTTAATATAAAAACAAAGTACATAGCACTCGTGTGAAGTAAATTTATCATTCCTATTAAAACTAAGTGCACTATGCATATCTCTTATCTCGATACTTGTAATTCTGTCACAAGCAAATGTGTTCCACACGCATTAACAGAGCCGCATTTTCCTGCATTGCGCAACAAACAACTTTCATACGAAACCAAAATTTTATTTAAATAAATACATTTTTATTTACACCATATTATAATTATTGTCGCAGCTGTTCTCACTATATTCGATTTATTTAATACAGTTATAATTTTAAAATTAAATAATATATATAGCTGTCTGAAATAATTTTTATTACCTCCGCGTAAAATTTGTAATGAAAGGGGTGACTGACTTAATTACCGTAATGACAAGCATTTGGCACACGAGGTGAAATTTTTATGTATTTTTAATATGAAACGAGTATAATACCTTCCTGAACGATTTCATTAAAATGTCATACATTTATAATGTCATTAATTAAAATGTCAACACTGTTGATATTACAATAAAAAAAGCTTTACTTTGATGATAACAAAAACGAGATTACATTTTATATGAAAGCTGTAGCGACGCCTGTAAAAACTATTATAATGTATAACAAAAAAAAAAACGAGTTTATCTTCGCGCAACACACAAACATTTATAGGAATATTTAATTCGTAATTTGACAAAAAATATTTTTGACATAGATAATTATATTAATAGTTTAAACATATATGTATATATAATACAAACTTACCTGTATGACACCAATAATTCTTCCTTCAGAGTTTTTGATGGCCATACATAATATCGTGTTGTGTTTGAAGCCAGCCCCATCGTCCACCGAGGGGTCGAACCGAGGATCAAGATAAGCGTCAGCAATGTTAACTGTCTGTTAATGGTTATGGGATATCAAACAAAATGATATAAAGGGTCTAAATATCATGTAACGCAAACACTTTGAAAATAATCCGGCTTAGATACCAATCTATGCATATCGACGAGTCCTATGTATAAGGGCCAATGTAGCAATTTAGCTATTTTAATTTTTTTGCTTTAAACACTTCATAATACTTTATTCTACAACATCCATTTAAAGGCTTAGATTTTATTGTAGTAAAAGGGTATAAGTAACACACTTTTTAACGTATAAGGGCTTATTTACATTATTTAAAAAATTAGTAGGCTTACAAAAAAAATATCAAGCTTAAATAACGAACATGTATATATGTCATAGTTGCTATGCAAAGTTTCAAAAGCATCAGTTGTGATATGTAAAAGATACGTTGAAATGAAACTTGAAACGCCTCTACTGAAAAATTTACATTTTGCACATTGGCCCTTATACATAGAAGCCATCGATATATTGATTAAACTATAACATTCTAGATTGTAATAAATATTTTTTTTAATTGCCCTTTTTAAGTTAAACATAAATATATTATATTCAAATTCGTTCTGCTCCTTTTAAAAAGTCCGAACTTATTAACAAATTATAAAGGAAGAAACATAAATTAACCCTTTTAGATGAACATTATAAAAAACTGTGAATTCTGTAACACAAAACACTTTATAATTACTTCATTTTAAGCCTTTAAAATTACTTCATTATTATACGTATGTCTTAAAATTAACCTGTATTTTGAAACGCGAAAACATAATAATTCATACATTACATTATAGTGAGATAATGATTAAGGGATTATACATATTTTCCCACATCGATCAAGGAAACTTGACCTGTCTCAACAAAGGACCCACTACCTGTTCATACCCCTTAGCCTATATCTTAATTTTTTTCTTAGCTAAGTAAAACTCACCTCTCCAGTAGTAGCAACGTATCCAGTTATACCAATGTTGATAGGGAATCTACTCTCGTATGGCGAAGTCCTAGGAGTGCCGGGTTCAGCGTCATCTCCGGCTTCCAAATCAAACACCCTTGAAAAACTACCTTTTGAAGCTTCGTGGACTAGTAACACCTGTAATCAAAGATTTTTAACCAATTTGGTAAATATGTTATCTATTAAAAAAATGTGTATGGATTAGAGGGTTTTTCTGTGAAATATGGACTGTTGTTCGTAAACAGAAGTTTTAAGAGTTATTTAATATTATACATTCAAAATCTAGCAGTCTATTACTTTTTTAAAGCTGTTCATACACCGACTTTTATCTTTTTTTACTGTTATAATTATATTTTTTGCTACTGAGGTATTAAAATGCTTCACACATCTGAATATTAAAACATATATATATTAATATTTCCTTTTTAAACATTTAGATTGACGTATGATAATGTGTTTTATTTGTAATATTTCTTACAAAATATTTATAAATATGGAACTTTTAAAATATGCGGAATAAATTATCAACTATGCAAATTTGACACTATTAAATGTGTTTATATTATCTCTTAATCTCTCGTTATAAAAAATTATATCAATCAGAGATTTTATCTCATCTTTTTGCTCGAGTGATTTTGTTGATGTCAATCAAAGGTATATAATTATCTGGAACAGTAAGTTATAAATAGTCTTTTATTAGGCAATGTTGAATTATAACATGGAATAGAGCGGAAAGCGCTGTAGTTACAAAATATTATTTTATTTCAGAATAAATAATATTGTCAATAATATAACAAAAATGACTAAAAACCTTTAATTTTCAGTATAATCGTAACAACGGAAGCTATTGTACTCTTTATTTTGTACCCTCTATAACAAATTTTGTTTCATTGTGTTTTTAAGACCTAATGAAACACGTACTTCGCAATATTTACCTCAGTCATGACTCAAGAAATTACAAACTTCTACTACATTCCGGGCATGAAAATTCAACCCCTAAATACTCACATAATAAGTAAGTAAGCCAAAAAGTTTTCGAGAGAGATACGAATACATGTACATACATATTCATTATTTTACCTTAAACACAACCTTTTGTAGTCTTCACTATATTTTTTATTACAAAAACCTGTTCAATATATGTAGCGTTAATTTATATAATTTCATGCTACGATTTCAGTCCGTGTAACAGATTGTCATAAATGCTTATCATATTAAAATTGACCAACATGCATAATTTTACTATTAAAATAAATTATTTAAATTTTTAGATAGTTGCGAATACACGTACTGATAAAATCTTTCTTATCTCACTTCCATTAATCCGTCGTAATCAAAGATAATGATTTTAATATTGATTTAAAAATCTGATACGTCTTTTTAAATTACTCTAATCATGCGTAGATTACACGGCCTACAATTGGAATTAGTGTCAGGATCAACTTTATTATGGAGTGTAATAAAAACATATAAATGTAAATTCTCTACAAAGCTCTTCAAGTAATTCATTTATAAAAAAATATATGAAGATATCAATTGAAGAATGGAAAATAAATCAAATGTTCCGTATAGTGCTATTAATGACACAAGGCTATGAAAATTACATGAAAGAATACTTTTTTATATCCCTACTAATATTATAAATGCGAAAGTAACTCTGTCTGTCTGTCTGTCTGTCTGTCTGTCTGTCTGCTACGCTTTCACGCCTAAACCACTGAACTGATTTTAATGAAATTCGGTACAGAGATAGAGTTGACCTTGAGAAAGAACATAGGATAGTTTTTATCCCAGACTTTTGAAAGGTTCTCTTGGAAACGCGATATAACCGAACTCCACGCGGCGAAGCTGCGGGCGGAAAGCTAGTACTTTATATTTTGTTTCTTAACCAAAATCAGTTCAGTAGTTTTGGATTCGTTTAGTATGAAAAAAATTGTTTATCTTGACGTGATTTTATATATTCAAGACAACTTTTCGCTAAACGCGTTGCCTTCAATCCTACTGAGTACTTGAAACAAAATGTAGCCTATACAAATTTCACAAAAAATAGAAGCTTTATATTATAAAATAGTACATTATAATAAAGATATAATTCATATCAACGCATATAGAACAAATTTAAAACGTATGCTTACATAAATAATTAAAGCACCAAAGTCTATGAATTTTAATCGACGTTTGTCGAACGACCTTTGTAAAGTTACAAGAGTAAAATTAAATTTCGATGAGTCTTTGCAAACAAGGATAATTGGGTACGGAAAATCGTTTTAGGGGCAGTTTAAATTACCTATAAACCTGAATAATCTATTTTATTGATACCGAAAGGTCTTTGCATAATTGGAAAAATCTATAATTGAATCGAAATACAATGTCGTTTTTTTTAAATGTTACGAGTATATACACTGTAAAATAAATATCGTAAGTATATAAACATATATACTTTTATGCTTCAAATAAAAAATATAAATTTAACATTCAAGTCATGTTTATGTACATACGTAACTTTATATAGCTCTATATTAAAGCGAGTGTAAGGATAAGTTCAGGCAGAAGGTATCACGGCGTTATTTCTACACTGTTCTTACATAATTAAGTTTCCTTTGGAAATGATCCAATAAAGAATTGCCCGAGGGTTACGCTAACATTCAAACGATGTACGTCATTTTCAATAGATGGTCTCGCTGAAGATAATATTACATTATTACATCACGTAAAATATATTAAAAGTGTTTCTAAAAGACTCCGCGGTTACATTATTTTTAATTTGTTATAGCTACTTAATAATTATAAGTATACTACTGAGTATTATTTTCGTTCTACACTAAATATTTCATACTATTAAATAATGAATATATGAAATAAAAATAATAATAATTATTAACACATTTTACTTTCGCCGAATGTACTTTGTGTTTCTAATTTTTCTCTCCCCAAACCGGGTTTTCAAAAATCGGATTTACGATATTTTATTTCTAATCATGACTAAAAAATAAATGAATTCTGTGCTATATAGTATTACGTAGAAAAAAATATTGCTCCAGTAAGATTTTAACGAAGTATAACAAAGGCAAATTAATTATCGATGTAACGGTTTTTGCTCCTTAATTAACTCTTTTGTTTGAACTTAAGACATAATTTTAAGAAAACAATTCGAAAAAAGTTCTAATAGTGATATCGAAAATGTTCTCGTCTGTATAAAATGGAACATTTTTTTTTATAGCTATCTACTATTCTACTATCGCACAATTAAACTTAGTATCCATAAATATTACTTCCATTAAATTAATTGTAATACAAAATTATCGTCTGAGGATTTCAAAAAGGGTTTTATGTTTTGAGATGACATACACAGGAAAATATACATAAATGTATGTATATACATTTCATATGTATATGTTAAACTTTTGAAGCTCCTTTGTAGACCTTTATTTTCCCTAATAGTATTTTCAACGTTTCTGTACAAATTAATACATATTATGTGAGTTATACATCAAGAACAATATAAAAAGAAACTAATTCTTCATTGGAATAGTTTTTCAATGACGCTAAACAGGAAGCAGAAAAAACTCGCTATTCTGTTCCGCAATTACACCGAATATTTCATATCCATCTTTTTGTACACCGTCCTCTCAACTTTATTAGCATAAGAAGATTGATACCCTCTTAGCACCATTCCACTGTAATGTTAATTCGTATAAATATTAATGAGAATGTGTAGTTCCAGTACAAATTTTAACAATATTAAAATATTTTTCATACTCATTCTGTATATATATCAAAAAAAAAGTTGTGTATACATTAAAATAATATAAAATACATGATAATCCTTTCAGACGCATTAACCTTTTTGGGAGCAATTTTCAGTATCATAATACGAACGAGTATTCTTCGTTGTTGAAAACGTAAATGTACAATAGAATTAAATTTTGTTTAATAATATTGTACTAAAAATTCAAGACAACTTCATGTTGGTGATATATATGTACATACATATTATATACCTATAATATTCTAATTAAAATAATGAAGTTAAATTTTAACTTAAAACAAACGTGTAATGAGAACGTTTACGAGTATTAAGAGAATATAATCTCTTAAATTGAATGTTTTTCGTACATATTTCTGTATACATTATGATGTTCCAGGAATTATTATTATTACAATTTATTCTCCTTGCAAAGCCCTCAATTTCGGCTTAAAACGAAAAAATGAAAAATTCATGTTTTGTAACACTCGTTATATACGAGTATGTAGGCAAAACAATGTTCAACGCATTGTTGTATAATATACATATAGTTGAAATGAACATAATACATATGCAAGTATACAATATTTCTTTTGTGTACTCTAGAGAGGGTTCCTATCTTATTTCTTAAATTTCAAAAAGTTGGCACCATTCCAATATTCAGACACATTGTTCTTTCCTACATAAATATAAGCCAAATGTTATACTGATTAGTGCCAAAAGCTAACTTACATAAATTGACTGTCTCGCTCCAAATACAAGAACAAAAGATAAAGATAATTAAATCTTATTTTAAGTTCAAGTAAAGAATCAATACGTTTTGATAAAAAGTAATATATGGTATTGAAAACTTTTGTGAATATTTTACTTGCATTATTTAATTTGCAAAGATTTATCAGTCGTACCTTATCAGATTTAAAAATTGTACGGCATTAGAGGTATGGAAAGAAAAAAATAGTATTAAGCGGTTCTAAATTTATTAGTATATTAATGGTAATTTTTACGATAATTCTATCTGAAATAGTGATCTCCCTTTATTCAAGTGTTGGCACTGAGTCAAGTCAATGAGTGAATTAATGTTATACGACTATATTAGTCAGCGACAATTACTCAATACTAGACAATGTTGAGCTGAGTATTGTAAGTATTTCGCTAGGCAAAGTGACCAACGCAATTATAATTCAGCTTAGCGCGTTAGTCAAGATAGCGTCGACTCCGGCGCCACTAAGATACTCGATCATTACCTCTATTAAACAGACTTTAACAGCGTCAGACGAAGTTGGTCGGCTTGTATAATAAAGTCAGATACTCAACAGACAAGAGATTTAAGATTGTACAGTTTGAAGCATGAATATAAATTTATGTTTTATGTACCATCTAGGAATTTTAAATTGTACTTATGATAAAGAATTTTCATTCCTTGTGATTTCTGTATTATAATAGAAGAAGAATCACTAACAAAAAAATATATTTAAGTTATGTGAAAGAAGAATTTTGTTTGTATGTCTGACTAAAACAATATCGGACGCTAAATAATAATACGCTTATAAATATTTTTGATCGTCATTGTATTTAATATTGGCACGTGCTGTAACAAAGACGTGTTAAACATCGACATATAACGTAATAATAAATAATTTAACAACTTGATACGTAAAACATTCAGACACTGAAGTATCCACAATGAATACACGGAAATGGTTTGTGTAATCACTATTCAATTCACGTCTATACTTTACACGACTAGAAATATTTAATTGTTTATAATACACTACCAGTAATCACAACACAAACATATAGTTATACTAAACAAGTAAACATTTAAAATATATTACGACTGTAATATTATATTTCACTATAAAAAATTACAAGAAATTTATTGGCTGCAGCCCAAGAGTCCGAAAATATGATATAGTATACTTTTACACTAATAATAATTTTAAACTATGAAGTTACAACTTTAGCTCAATATGTTAACTGTTTTATCTGAGTATACATCAAAGCAAATTTTCAGAACTCTAGATTTCTGTCTACCGCGTATGGAAATGTTTTTGCTTATTATTTAGGCGGACAAAAAAAACAGGAAAATATGACGCTTTGTATGCTTCCGTGACCTTTGGAATTATAATGCTTATGAGATGGTTAATATTCCAATCGGAGGAACTGTCTGAATTGTATTTAAATATAAACGAATTCTAAAAGGTTTCGAGGGCTATTATAATTTCAAGCGCAAATTACCGCATACGGTATGTACATATACAATATGGTATTTATCAATTCATATGCTATTAGACGATCAAGGTAAATTGATACGGACAATATTATGTTCGCAAGGGGCAAAAACCTTTTGAATTTCGAACAAAAATATCTATGATATAGAACAGTAATATATTAATTTTAATTTGATGGAATTTTTTTATCAAAGAAACGCGAATATTAATTAATGATTTTTTTACACGCTTACCTGAACCCGTTGACATCTTATCAGACTTTGTGTGTGTGTAAGTATTCTAAGCACCATGTGTTCTATCGTGCTTTGCTCTTCAAAGACCATCCTTGCCAAATCTAAGAGGACCTGGTTCCTCTTCACTTCAAGCTGCGATCTCTCATATAACTGCGCGTTCCGGAGTCCGATACCGCAAAATTGTAGGTACGATGCAAAAACTTTCTCGTCGTACGCCGTGAACGGACCATCATTCTGTTTGTTTATCACCTGAAATAAAAGAACATAAATTACATACGAGTACGTTAGCGAAATAAAGTCATATCCCATGGAAATTGAAAATAACTTCCTTCTATGGCGAAAGAACTCAATAAGAAAACATTTCTAGCAATTCCTTCGGGATTCAAATATATAGGAAAAATAAAGTGTATAAACAATGTTTTCAACGTTATAAGCTTCAGGGTAAGAAAAATTTTGCTTGTAGCACTTTACCAAGAAAATATATTAGGGGCCTTGAGCTAAATTAAAATACGTGTTCCGAACTATGTATTTTGTGTAAGTGTATCCGTATGGAATATTATTAGTTTTATTTGCATTCCGCAACTTCCGCAACGAAAATGACAAATGCTTATTTGTTTTGGTAGTGAATGTGTTTGACAGTAAACTGTATGCTTTTCAACTTCTGTTAGTCTATTTCAATATTACTGCAAACTCGTGCGGTACAAGCATTTTTTTTTAATATATTGCATTCCTTAATTAACTTAATTTATATAACACTCTCTTTACAAGTACGAGTCCTAATAATCAAATATACTTAATATTAAAGGTCATGAAAGGTTTTCCATCCATTAAAAATACTTTCCGATCTCACTGAATCAAATCACGATTTCAAATTCTGCTTAAGTACTTGGAGCGAAAATGTATATCGTTTTAATTTAGCTGTTCCTCGAAAATGTTCTGAACAATTCCAATGTTAAAAGAAAATAAAGCAACAATTACGCAGTAATTGGTTATTGATCTAGGAGATGTTTGATTCAAAAGTTAATGGAAACAGAAACATATTTGATCGAATCTTATTTATTCCAGTAATTCATTTGGCATCGACATTTTTTTTCCAATTTATTTTGGTCCCAAGAGGTGGAAACTCGTCAGGTAAAATAAATTAATCTCCAATTTTCCTCAAATTAACAGTCAATCTGCGATTTTATAATGAAAATCCAATATCGAAATAAAAATGTCTTTTTTGATATTATTATTCATTCCATTTTACAGACAGTGATTAAGTTATCAAAAATATAATCATGATTCATTTGGGTTTTTTATAGAACTAAACACTAATATTAAATTTTCTCGTATCATGGGCATATTGTATATGAAACGGTTTAACTTGTGCATACGCAAACGCATGTATAAAGAGCATATAGTCTAAATACCTGTGCAACACCAATAACCTCGCCGTTGATATCCTTGATCGGCATGCAGAGTAGAGACCTCGTCTTGTAACCCGTCTGCTGGTCAATATCGTGGTTGAACCTTTTGTCCTGTTACAATATAAAGACTATTATTTAATAAAATATTCATTAATGAGACACATTATGATTATTTCTTCCACTGTTTACTTTCTAATTCTGCGGAATAATTAGTATAGCTTCGATTGATATTAGTTTTTGTATAACTTACATCTCAAACTTTTTCACAAATACAAAAAATATATATTATAGAGAATAAATTTCTTTTGAGTTAATTTTGATATTAGATTTTGATTGAGTTTTTGGTCGAATAAATAAAATATGTATCAAAAAGTGTAAAGTTAATACAATTTACAAATTTAAATAAATCAATCCTCAAAATTTGTTTTCATTGAAAATGAAACCATTCAAATATTATTATTTAAATTAAATTCCCATAAAGAATTCTATTTGCTCTTAAAAAGAATCATTATGTAAAATGTTTTACCTTAATGCAATTCATTTCTAAGAAGAGTTATTTGAATTGTAAAATAAAGTCGTGAGTATGTGCTGTTAAATGTAAGTTTCAAGGAAGTATCTAAGGATATATGAAAGTATTCAGGGAATTTTTATGGTTGCTAATTGTAAATTTATTATATTAAACGGAATTACCATAAACGCAAGTCATAAAAATTATTGAAGACAATTATATTTATTGATTGCTATAGGCAACTGTATTTATCACACGTAACGATGGTTACTACGCAAATGTATGCATTTTTATTGAAATCATTGCAATGATAGGTATTGGTGTAACACTTGTTTGCATAATACCAAAGCAATGGGTGCTACCAAAACTGAACTAACATTATCCGTCCGTTCCTATTTTAAGTAAGAAATTCTTTAAGAAAAATTTTCTTTATCGCCTTTGGCCATTTACGTTACAAACAGAAACTTTCATTGTACTGTATTATAAATAAACAGCTTTAGTCTAAATTGATTTACTATATTATAAAGACGTTGAAAATAGAACACCTTGAGAAGGAAACTGGGACATGCTGGTAATCGGAGTCCATCGTCGACCGCAAACCACACGCGTCCTTTACATAGCCTCTGTCTCTAATTGCTGATCCAACTTGTTAGAGCAAAAACTTTAATGTTAAAGAGAAACAGTTTTCAGATGCACTTGCTACAAATTTACAACAAACTTTCGTGCAATATAAATGTTAGTTTTGCTATCCTTTAATTAGTTTTAATATTTAAAGCCAGCTAGGGGACTAATTAACTTTTACTTTAACTGTTATTTTTAAATTTATACAAGTACGAGTTTTAGTCAAATGGAAGTTGAAAAATGAATTCAAATGATTCATCAAATATAACATTTCGGTGGTGTAATAAAACCGATGAACTTCAGCACATAAATGTATGATCATATAATTTATAACCCAATATTATGAAGAAATAGTACTTTGGACGTGAACAATTTGTGGGAAAAGCATGGCCTCAAGCCAAAGACGGAATTACAACTAGACGCTGGCTTCATAAACCGAAGAAAAGAGAAACTATTGCAAATTGATTGACATTTTAATTTGAGGCATTAAATACGCGGTTTCAGAAAAGCCAAGTTATTTAGTAAGTAAAATATGATTCTTATTAATTACAAAAAACAACACATTTTGCCAAAAAAATTGTATATCAAATCAACCAAAATAAAACACGATATATGTATATAACTGAAAATGTATTCAGTTATAATAAACACAAACAAAAAAAAATATATTTCTTCGAAATTGCTACAACTACGATACTTCACATAATAGAAATTTTCACATAAAAACAGTTATCTGAAGATAAACTGATGAACTTCGTACTATAAATCGGCTTTACTTGTGCAGATGCCAATTTTCAGTTATCAATAACACGTTCAATTGTAACAGCTATTGATACTAATTTACTTAAGTTTTGTCTGAAATTAAGTTTTAAAACAATACATTTTTAAAACGACACGGCAATAATAATTATTATTATAATTAAAGATTTATATACTTAATGTCACCGCTGCTGATATTAAATTACAAATATTAAAGTTATAAAAGTCATAGCTTACTTTATAGACTCACATCCATATTGTGGACTTTAATTTGCTAACTGTTCTGTGATATAATGTTAATACTAAAATGATTTTTGTTTCATTTTTTCTACTTATTAATATAATAAAGTGAGCATCAATCAAGTTACGAATACTCTTATTTTGTGTTACTTTTAGGCAAACTTCAACAAAACGGTAGGCACGCGTTGGCAGCTGCCATCGATTATTTTCGAAGTTTTTCCTTAACAAAACATATATAGTTATATCGGAAACCCCAAGTTTCTTTTGCGGTCAGATCTTAGAAACCTCAAATAATGGAATATCGGTGACCTTTCGTCTCGCTTTTTATTGCGAAATGCTTTGTTTTGTTTTGTTTCGAGATAGAGGTTTCATTTGTATCCATTCAAGATTTATTTAAATCGTGTTATAAAATAGTAGACATGCAAATGAATATTCAACCTTATCAGGGCAATGGATGTAATGGCTGAATATAAGAGTCTACTTTGGTTTAAAAATTTAAGTCTAGCTTTTCACTAGACATTCTATTACAGGACGAGAATTGTTGCTTTAAAGTGTCTGCAAACTTTCAGCGGTGGATATGTTTATTTATATGTACATATACATATGTATAAAGACTACAAAATATAAGAATATAAGTGATAATATAATTTTTAAATACACTTTTTATTTTACTTCGGAATCGTGTTACATTTCTGTCCTATCCAAACGACGCCCTTTTTTCAGTTCTCGTTTTTCTTTTGTATTTCTAGATGGCAGATAAAATACCTTAAAAAACATCTAAAAGATTTCTCTTTAGGATTTTATTTTAGATCGTTTTCATTTATTTTTAATATAGTATATAATAGATCATCTGAATAAGAATTATTCCGATAAAACAGAGAGAAATAAAAAATGGAACATCGAATTTTTTCATCACAAATTTGATATCAGTCCAGCTATATACGTCAAACAATTTATTGGTCGAACCAAATTTAATTTTAATTCATATATGAGAATTGAGTCTATAACTATAATTGGAAGAAAATTAAAGTTATAAATCAATTAACAATTTTATTATATCAATGGTGTGTGATATTTTACAAGTGGATATATTTTTACTTTAATCTTAATGTGAAGGTAAATTGTTATTATAATGAATATAAGCTATATTAGATTAACATTTAATCGGTACATGGCCACGATTTTGGAAAGCAGCCAACCTTTGTACGTTGCTCCCGTTCGACTAAGATGAATTAATCCTAAGGGAAGACGTTCGTGGAAATAACAAACCGTTGTTAAATATTTAAACTAAAATATATTTGTTTGTACTTGAGCTATAGTTTTGGCTTAATGAGATATCGGATTAATCTTACATTTTAATAATTAGAATCACAGTTAAGAAATATATATGTATAGATAAAAAGTCTACAAGATAAATCATCCTACTTGAATAATCTCCTATTTATACGAGTATTGAATACAAAAATCAAAACATATTTTTTTTATATTTCCGAATTGTCAATCATTTATATTGATGTCATTTAAAATGTTCTTATCTATTAATATAATACGTTACATCAATTTCAGTTTTATAACACAAAAATGAGTAGATCTTTAATATCGATATTGTGTATAGCTTTTAATGTGAGCTTTCGTCATAGCATTGCCCTAACATCAAAGATAGGAAGCTCTATTGTCTAAATCTCTTTATTTATCTTAACACATTTCAGAAACAGCTTCTATCACGTAATTCATGAATTGTGGGAAGATGGATAGCACACAATTTATTCAGAAAGGTCTCGAATAATTTATACAGAAACTCTCTCGCCTCCACTATTTCATATGCAACAAAGTGGATTAACTTTATTTTATAACATTTTTTCATCACATATTTCTTGATTTTCTATAGTAACCATAAATCTTCTATTCTTTGATTAAAAAAAAATCTACTGTTGTATTCTTTTTTTGTCATATCCCAATCATAATTAAAATATTTAATATTTATACGACATCAATATGAATGATACCAAGCCATCGTTTATTCCAGTTAAAATAAAATCTAAATCGAATAACACAAACAAGAGCTGTTAACGATTTCAAAAACCTTTTTTTGTCTACGCTCACCCGGTTACTCTCAATTTCCAAGTTTCTGAATTAATGGCTTTTTCTCACACACCCTTTTATGAAACATTTAAAAATAAATAACAATATAGAAGCAGTTCAATACCTTTTGTTTTATTTCGTTCAATTTGTATTTGAAAAATCGTATGCGAGAAATAAAGCTTGGGTTGTGAACCCTTTTAAAAAATCTTGTTTTCCAATACGCAGTTCGAAAAACATTTGAAAATTTTCTATAAACGGGTTTTTTATACGAAATTTACATTTTGATAAGCAAAAATATATACATTAGAATTTTGCAGGCCTACATGTGATTCCATATTCTCAATATATATTTCATTTCTATATCATACCTTAGTGAGATAAGTTATTTATTTTTAGAATATCTTAATTAATTACCCGGGATTTACATACTAAAATGGGTTTTATAGGTACTTAATTAATAAAACAAAATATCCAATATTTCTTCTTTAAATATTTGTAAGCCTCAGTTTCTTAACAGTTTTTACAAACGAACAGATTGATTGATTAGAAATAAGCAAGTAGGTATTTTTGCATAATAGGGTCCTCCACTAAATTAGTAATTTTGCCTCATTTGGTCATGATTATGATGGCTGTAAAGAAGTCGAAACGTTAAGTAAAAATATAAAGTAATAATATAGCGAAGTAAAATTCAGATACAATAGTTCAATCCATATAAAGTTAACAATCCTTTATCTTAGTTTCCCGCTATAGTACAGTTACTATACTTAAATATTTTTATAAAATCACTTTTTTTAAAACCATTCGCGTAGATGCTGTTTTGCCGTATCAAAAAGTAACCTATGTATGTCTTACTGATAGGTAACTTCCATCTAATTTCGTATCAAAGACGTGAAATGATGTTAGGTAGAAATATAGAAGAAGAAATAATCACTTTTCCATTTCTGACATAAACATAAATGATTAAACGTTTTCGAAAATACGATTGCACGTCCAATTATTACTATGTACTTTTGTTAACAGAGCTGTCTTTATATATTTATAGATAAACTAAGATAGATTGACTGCACAGAAAAACCGATCGTCACATTTTCGTGTATAGATCAATCTGATGCAGTAGATGTTTCTAAAAGAGACAAACACAAAAGATGTTTTACGATGTGTAAGAAATGGTGCTGTATAAAATACGACTTCACTTCTCCAAATAGTAAAGACAGACGATAAAGAAATTATGACCTAGTTGACAGCTAAGCTGAAATATTAATGTTATGTTTCTAAAGATAAATATTTTAAAGGCGCCGTTATTTTATATATAAAAAAACAGTTTTTAATACAGATAGGTAAGAGAGATAATATTAAACTTATCGTAACATCAAAGTTGCATTAATTTGAGATAAAATGGAAAACAAATCTCCAAAAATTTAGTTTAATAGAACTTAAAGTTCGCAGCAGATGTTAACATTTCATTGAAACAAATGTGAGACTAAATGAGGTGATAATATCCTTGAGATCCTAACTGCTTTTAAATGGAAAGTTATAGTCAGGAAGTATAAAATAGCGTGATTACTAATTTTATAAACAAATAAATGTTTTTTTTTTGCTGTAATAACAAAGAGTTCTTATATATTTGGGGGGTTTGAATGTAAATACGCTTTACATAAAAACATAACATGTAAAATCACAATAAAAACTCAAATTAATAATTCACATTATTAAATAGGGCAGTATGGGTCCTGAGACTGTAATTTTTAATGGTCGGTCGTAAAACGGAGCTACGGTTTAATTTTTTATTTTCATTGCAAAACATATTTCAAGTCCAAATACATTTTGATATATGTACTAAATGTTCGCTAAGTTACCAAATGTTATCCTCTCGTGTATAACAAAAACTTTTTCGACCAACGGTAATAAAAAGTTCAATATTAATATTATTACGACACAGTGTGAAAACACTCCATTGTTCGAAATGTTAATAATTGCTCTCGCCAGAAGGCAGTTATTTTGTTTCAATTCTCACATAAAACCAAATTAATAGACATGAAATGAAAATACAAAAACACTGCAAATTACTCGCTTGAAAATATTATCATATTTATCCCACATGTGAAAAGTTACATTTATTTTAAGAGCTCATAGAACCGAAAAGCATTTCAGAATGCGAGAACTGTGAACATTATTTTTATAGGCTTGCCGTTTGGAAATACCACTTCAGATAGTATAGCATTGAAATTCTTACTAAACGCGCATTTTGATACAGAAAGATATTTTAAGAATCTCGCGAACGCTGAAATGTGATAGGAAACATCTTTAAAAAATCATACTGAGATCAAAGAAATGATGAATCAACGTTATTCAAAGAAAATTTAGGTCAAAGTGAATGTTTTAGTAAATAAATGTATTTATAAACAATTATTCATACATCATAAATAATTGTATACAATTAAGCTATAGATTTTCTCGGAAGATACAAACAGAAAGCATCGTTCATGGCCTGATATCTTTTGAATAGGAACGTCGATCATTTTCACTTTAGTGAATGCCTCTCGAAATGTGAAAGACAATTTCTCCTTAGCCTTAAGCCTCGCATTAAATTTAGCACCATTCATCTTGCTTGACTTACGACCGAGTTAGAATTTATTATACCATTTGTTCTTTTATAATTTAATATTTAAGACAATTTTTCAAGGCTGGCAATGTCTGCTACCAACAACAATAATAAAATAATAAAAATATGTTACAAGAAAGAATATGAGTTTTAGTTTTATCTCTTGGGCATAGAGAACTATATAAATAATTTACAAAAAGTTTATGAAATGAGTTTTATAATTTTTTCACGAAACTGAATTAAAAAAAGCATATCATGAAAAAAGTTCACGTGTAATTATTGTGTACTAAATACTAATACTAACTAAGTGCCTAAACATTAGACGTTATTTTTTGTATAACCGCAGAGTCGTATTGTCTTTAACATCTCGCCTTTATGGCTTTTCACATTCTAGATTATAAACATAAAATTGTATTATAAAATTGTCAGCAGGCAATATTATAGTACAAATAATATTATGGTATGATAATAAATGTGATGTTCTATTTATGAATGCAAACCTTGTAAGCATCAGGTATGTTGACAGGCTCCCCACTCTCCGCCACGTAGCCAACGATCCCGCTGCCCCAGGGTATCCTGATCTCCTCAAGCTGTTCCATTTGCTCCGGAGTTGACTTCGAACACACATCGAACAGCTTCGACACCAGACATCTTAACAAAAAGATTTCTAAATAAATATTGATAGCATTATATAATAATTACTTCGTAAAAAAAATATCACTTGTATTCAATCCTGAAAAATAGTTAAAAACGTTTCCGCTAAAAGTATAATTGAAATCAGAAAAAATCGTAATAATACCAGTTAATATTTTTTTATTGACGGCGCAAATATTTTTTACAAAAAAAAAATCCTGAATTATACTTTCTGTGATCTTACTTCAGAAACTCACCAACTTACCGTAATGTATAAGAGAATTTTACACATAGTTTACCGCTTTATGAGAATCGTTCAACCGTGTGCTTTGGATTTTGGGTTTTATTAAACGTATCCTTTTTGTGGCCATCAATTGGGAAATTCCATGGCCGATTGGAATTTGGTAGTTAAGAGGCCATTTTCTCAATAGGTGAGCAAAATTATTACGTGAAAGTATTATAAAATGATCAAGAAACAATAATTACTAATTATAGTATAGTTATTTAGAATTTAAATACAGGGTAAAATTACCAGCGACAAGAATGATATTAAATGTACACGGCTTGTATTTTTATGAAGTAAATGAAAATTTAAAAACTATTTCGGCATTTTGTTAAAGTATTTAACAATTACTTAAACATTAGTCAGTCTTAAGTTCAATATTATGTTGGTTAATTTCTGTTCAGAATTAATTCTCAACAAATACATAATTTAGTTTATAACGATAATTTGTTAGTTTTGAAAATAGTTTTTATTTTAATCTGGTAACATCCAGGTATATTAAAACAAATTTTCCGTCGTGGATTATAACAACAAATAATGTTTTCTAGATTTAAAACTTTATTACGACATCTTTGTTAAATTAAAAATCCTACTGACGTATTTTAATACGTCATCAGAGCCGACTGTTGAGCAAAGCCCTCTTCTCACATGGAGAAGATTTATTTTAATTGGTTGTTTAGTTTGATATTTGCCTTTTAAGAAAGTTATTAATAGTGAATGGAGAAAGTTATGATAAATTAATCATTTGAGTTTTATTTACTATTTGTTTTATTAATATCAGATGAAATTAAAAGCATAAGTCAATCCGAATTCAAAAAATTCCTTAAATCTAATCGACGAAAGAAATACATTGGATATAATTTTAAATGAAAAAATGTAAGCAGGTTCAATTTAATTTAATGGATAGTCCTCAGATGTATCTAATAACATGGACTTCTTAGTGTACGTCTCGGTACATTCGTCTCAGAGTTTACTCAAACACAATAAAATCCCTCGAGAGCCGGCTACAAACTTCCTCGAAGACTTGTGCGAAATTACTATAAGCGATTTTAGTCCCTAATATTATAGCATAGCAATGTATTTTATTATTTTAATTCAAAAAATGGACTTGGTTAAGACGAGAACAGTGTTTGTTTCAAAAAAGATTTTTCAAATAAATTAGAGTATAGGTATGATAAATGGACATATTATATTCGATGTTTCATTACATGACAATTATTATTTATAACTTCGGTCATCAACTTCACACATGTCTCAATCGATATGTATTGCATATGATGCTGTTTAAGGTTTTCGTAACTTTTTCATAATAGTATACATCGCCTTTGCAAAAGAATCACCAAAATTTCTATTGACTATAGTGTAAACACTGAAAAACGACATGTTTTATTGTTCTCCTTGGTCTAGAGCTATTTAAACTAAATGTGTCATAACAACAACTAGTAACAAACTAACAAATATATACCTAGAGTTCTACTTCATATATAAATTAATTCTTTGTTTACGATCTCAACAACTATGCAAGTTATTTTATGTATGTTTTAAATTACAGCGAACGTATATTAACAACTGTATTATTGTAATTTTATTAGACCAAATAAAAGGAAGCTGGTTATGTGAACAGAAAAGATTGTGCAATACCATCTCTATATTAAATTTTATACCTATTAACTATTTTTAACGATTTAATATAGTCACCTTGCTAATACCAAAAACGATTTTCATTTAATTTAAAGAAAAAACAAGACAGTTCAAAGCATATTTATTAAAATTAACTAAAAACAAAATAATCTTATATGGGTGATCGTAACAGTTTAAAGGAACAAAAGTATTATAACTTGAGGTTGGACTGAATGTACATTTTATTCAAGTAATTTAAAAACTTTTAATATGTACTCTAATTTCATGCTAGCTATAACTACATTTAACAGAGATCCTCTGCTGTGAAAAAATCTTATGAATTTCAATTATATTAAGCAGAAGGATATTACTGAGAACTGCTATTTGGATAGTTTCGAAAACAACGGTTTTGTCTTTGCCTTTTGTGTTACCAGGGACTAAAAGAAAAGAATTAAACTTTACAGTTTACACTACTTGTAAATAAAAAGTAATATTGTTTCAGGCAAAGTTGGATAACTTGAAATGCAAACTATTATTTTAATTGATAAACATAGTAGCTAATTCAAGCCGAACATTTCTTAATTCAAATTATCACTTACATTGAAAATTTATTATGTTTTAAACCACAAGCATAAATAAAATTCAATAGATATACGAATAATTAAGCCATTGTCCAAATTCTACATTGTATATGTATAATAAGGCGTAGTCTATACAATAAATTAAGTTTGTACAACGATTAAACCTGAAGCAGAATACATTAATCTGTTTTCGGGAGGCCAGTCGCAGTAACTGACCAACGAGAAGCCAGAGACACTTAATGTGTGGTCTGAGATATATAGCTTTAATATCGAGTTTATCTACTGTTACAAATAAATTACAATAATATACGAAGCCAAAATTGAACATAAACTGAATTTCAAATCACTGCATTGGGATATTTAGCCTTGAAATAAATATCACATTATTAAGTTATACACTTAAGTTTTATATGTAAGGGGATTTTAACAAAAAATCTGGAACATTTTACATTCAAAATTGATGTTAAAAGAACTTAAACGACATAATCCTGTTACTTTTTTATACCACAAGATGGACGGAGTTAGGGATACGCTTGACATTATCACGACGATAATAACATCAATTTATTGGATTCGCTTAAATAGACTTACATTTTGAAGAAAATCTTGTCATGAATAAAATTTTTACAAGCATGTTTAGTTTAGTTCAGTTCAATTTTAAATCGTTGATATTTATCGTTGCGGATTTCATTCTATTATAAAAATAAATCAGTCAGACTCTTCATATCTACCTCTAGGTCTTATTACTCAGTTAACTGTCACCGATACTTGAATATAATATTTAGACATGAGAAGCAAAAATATAATAGCAAACTCAAAAAAGTTGTCCTCTCAGAAGATATAAATAACTACTAATATAAATTGAAAATAATTTTTATACACCCAGACATACCAGAGAAAGGAAAATACGAATTACATGCAAGTGAAGCAGTAGGCAAATGTTGTATGCTTTAATCTCTCATTGAAAAAGGACTAAACAATTTTCAGTGAAACAGCTACCCTCTAATAAATTGGAATTATATATGTCTTACATTACAATATATGTATATGTGTAATTTCTATGTTTATTATAAATATATACATTTGTATGTATAATTTTGATATTTGAAGTATCTTAGAATTTTATATCACTTAGAAAAATATCCATGAATATATCTAAAGCGAATGCCATTTCAGTAATGATTCGAAAGAATGTCCGTCTGTAAGAAATGTCCTTTCTATCAAATTCAACCCACAATTTGTCTATTTGGCTGTTATTCTCTCAGACTCCCTTCTTTAGTATGACCATGACCTTCACTCAGAAAAACGAATGGAAAGATTCCAATCAATTTCGTAGCTCTTTCGAATTTCGTGTTATTGAAAAGAAATCTTTATGATAAAATATCTCCAATTACTTTTATAACATTTTTTGTGATTTGTATATAATGTGGATATTTTTGGATATAGAGATACTTAAAGTCATTAAATGCTTCATAATTTTTTTTATACACATTTAAAATTTATGTCAGTAAGATTGCTTTTAATGATTTATCTCAATACGCAAAGAAACGGAATAAAAAGCTTTTTTCTCATTTAGTTTCTATTAAAAATATCAGTCGAAGACTAAAACAGCATTGAGTTGTAAAACAATTTGTATTTTGAGAAATTGTTTAGTGAATCTCTCGATGATCATTATGTTGGGCTGTAGGTCAATAAAATTGCTATTTAATGGTTAAGTTTGGAATATTTTTCACATTTTTATGGGCTGTATAGTGTATATATCATTATTATGAAGGATATTTTTTTTCCCTTTCATTAGCAATTAATTAATTAACTCACTATGCTATTGTTAAAGCTTATTATTTCAGTTTCAAGTTTTATATAAACAGCATTTATTTCTGTATTACAACTTACTATATAGTCTAAGACTTATTTAGGTGTCAAAAAAAAATTAATTTAAATAAAATATCCATCCGTTATTAAATTACAAACACACGGCTAGCTGCAATATTTTGATTTACAGTAAAAGTTTATAAAGGCTTCAGCATATTTGATATTTTCTTCTCTCAGACACAACTGTTTCTCTTATAACTTAAATGCGCAACATACAAATGTGCACTACAACATATGATTATTTATTTTTTCTAGCTATAATATGCTAGTTAGACGGTAAGTATTTGATTAAAATTTACACTATACTTATGTTTATTCAGTTTTTTCAGTTTAGAATTATTTTATATATTTGGAGCACATCATTTTAAGTCATTGCAATTACAGCATTCGTTACAAAAGTATCATTGAAATTAACAAACTCGAGTCGTAAAAAGCAAGGAAATATAAAAAGTTATACACATATTTATAATATTAGTAAGAAATGATGCATACATTTGACTCACTACGCATAGAAAAGCCAAATAGCAGGAATAACACACTTCAAATAGCATCATGCAAATTGCCTCTCAACGCGTAATTAACCGATTTGTTTATGTTGCATGCTGCATAGACAGAAAAAAATATATTTTTTATAACACACAATAACAAGCAGCAGACGGGTTTAAACGTGAACTAGGGAACTACTATTAAAAATTACTTACAATATTCCCATCGAGTTATTACTGGTTAATGACAAACATTATAAATGATTTTAATTCTCACTAATGCACAGATATGACTTCAGAATCCATTTAACACAGTATCAGAAATTTCGCTTTATATATACCTACTATTAATTTCCGAAAATAGACTAGCGGCTCGTAACAGTCTTGTTGCTCTAATTAGGTTTTGCATATTATTTTAGTAAAAACAACATTTATGTTATTAATTTATATATTTATTTGCTTCTTCGCACAGCGTTGCAAAACGAAATTAGATGATAAAATTCTGATAAAAAGTCCACAATTAGTTACACTACTTAGAACTCAGATCAGCTGCACGGATTAATTGACTAAAAATTGCTCGGGAAGTAGCATAGAACTAAGAGAGACAGACATAGGCTCCTGTTAATCAAGTTTGATCCGAAAAGAGATATTTGCTCTAAAAAATCCAAAATCAGCTATCTAATGCCAATAAGAAGAATAGGGTTCGCCCGGTCAGCTATACATAAATTTCTATTTCTGAAACTGACGCACACAAAGTCGTGAACGAAAACTAGTATCTTGATATAGTATAATATTTACAGATAAAACATGTGATATCATAATAAAACAATTTGTTATTTTGATTCAAAAGTACGTCATTTTAAGAGGAAAGGAACAAAAAAACAGCTATCTATCAAAAATGTATTAAGTAAAAGTTCTTTATTAATCAATATTTTAAAATCTAAATTTTAGTTTAATGAGTTGCTAGGAGCAAAGTTTTTTACTACTTATATTTTTTAACTGCGTAACAATTGAATAATCCTGGATATTTTTTTTAAAATTACAACTTCTTGACATTCCGTGGATTCATCGTGCGGGTACCGGGACCCTTAGCGTTGCAGAGGAGCCTTAACAGTGCCTAGGACTTGCAACACAGGTATAGGTTTAAGGGTTGACAATATGATTTTATAGCCCTAGTACCTTTTATCACAAAACCTATTGTTCGCTCGTTTGTGATTGTTTCTTTTTGAGCTCTGGCCACCAAAGATCTAGCTGCGTCATAAATGGTCCACCAAAAAGTGCTTAACTGCTTCCCTGCAGATAACAGCTATTAGGATACCTTTACCCAATCTTATTATTACTCTAAGCCGAGGGAGAGTAATTTGGAACGCTTTGAAATAAAATTTTAACAGTGCTGGCGACCAATCGTGAATTAAGATATGCCATTTTAGTGCTAATGGGGTGAAAAATCTACGCCTAACCACTTGTTCTGCATTTTTAAACTCGTTCCATGGATCTTATATTATTTAGTGTTCTCGTCTTGCCGAATAAAGGAGTTTAATATATCTGTATCTTGGACTTTCTTACTTGATCCTAATCCTTGACTCTAGCTCTGGGGCATCTTTGTATTTTGGGTGTGAAGTAACGACATCATTATTGGATTTATCCAGGATATGTCTCTTGGAAACTGAGTGTATAGAGTTACGATGTCTTTTTAGATTTATCCCAAAACTGTTGCGACTCCTGAACAAAGCTGACGAATTATCCGATAGCACGACCCCGAGCCACAACTTCAACATCTTAGCATCTAACTTTTACAAAAGCATTTTATTAAAATCATAGACGGAGAAAGGCCAAATCAAACATAAAATTTGGTAATTTTCGTAGACAAAAGCTTTTGACGCTAATGATCGGTTGGTTATCTACCTTGTTAAGATCGTTTAAAAAGCTATCTACTATTCGTTCTAAGGGTGGACTACGATCTATATCGTTTATTTTAATGAAATTGGCGAAAATATGCGTATATTTTAATGGTTACAAATTAAGTATAATATACCCACATGCGGACAGAGATAAGTTGGTTTTTGTTTACTGTTCTCTTAAAGATATGCCGACGGATATTGATACTGTTGTGTATATGGATATTACCATAATTAAACCTCTAACTCTGTGTGACTGGGTATAATATAATGATATTATATTTAATACAAACAAAATTCATTGTATTTTTAATATTATACGGTACTTTTTAATATATATCCATATGAAGACAAAACATGACAAAGCGTGTAATGTTTACATTAAATATTATAACACTAATTGTACTAGTTACTACATAGTTAGTTACCTATAAAAATGAGATTTCATGAATCTTTGTGCCAAATTCCAAATTTTGAGATGCGCATTTGAAATGTGACTTCTATTAACTGACTGATATACATACATATATTAATTAAAAAAGAAAACAACTGGATACTTATTAAAATAATTTTATGATAATGTCCGAAATACATATCGTCTTAATGGAATATCACTGTAACGGAATAATGAATAGGTGCATTTATCATATGTAGTTGATACATATTTAATGTTAATACATCGTTTTTAAGATATGCAATTAGAGCAAGGTGCTGATTGAATTTAATATTTCAATTTTAGAAATTAATATTTCAATGTTGTCATTTAACGGGTCTAAATTTCACGGGTATCTTCGAACATCAAATGAACAGCCTGATCGATTATCCTTAAGGAAAAGTAAAACCGAAAACCTATCAAACTTCATTAGTGAAGCCTTGTGGGTAGACATCGCATTAAATCAAATGAGGAGAGATGAGAAATAGGAGCGTAGCAACAAGCCTTGAAAGTAGCCATTCGTTTTGGTAAGAACTTGAGATAAATTAATCCTTAGAACGGAAGCTAAAAAGTTGAGGATTAGTAAAGTGATTGGGATTACAACAATTGATAAAACAACGATAAATTTGTTGAAATAAAAAAATAATTTACTTTCGGACATTTACTGCATCTGAAACAGAGTTTACTTTGTTCTAAAATAAACCCACAACTCTACTTTATAGCTTCGTTATTATATATATCGTTGATTTGTTGCCAGTCTCGTTTACCACTGTAATAGAATTACGCAATATGTAAATTTTTACTTAAAGAACGGCAATATAAAGTAATATATATAAAAAGAAGTAAGTGTAGAGATTTTAATATAACTTTGATTTTTGTTTAATCTAGATGGTATTAAACAAAAATAATGAGGGGTAATTTGTTAAGAAAATGACGTGTTGAAAAACGTTGGTGCTCTGAAAAAATTTGTTTTGTAAAAATATGAATAGAAAATTATCTTTTGTTTACGAAAATTCTAAATCTTATTGTTACTTTTTCTCTTAACTAAAGCTTTTTATGGATTTTTTATAATTCGTGAATCAATGTTTATGACTTATGTTTTAGGAAATGAAAGATTCCACAACAGCGTCCGGTGTATTTCCATGTACTTTTCGGGTAACACAGATCAGCCATGAAAGCAAATGGGGCAGCACAGACAAGCAGTTAAGTTATAAAATGTAGGGCAGGATGTAAGGCATTTACGAGAGTACTGGACTTCCGATTTTTCTCTTTTGTCACGGTCTAATAACGAAAAAGGTTCAAGTAAAACGTTTCTCGGATCGCCACTAAAATTTGTGTTTTTTCCTCAACATTATATGACGCAACTTTATTTTATTTCGAGAACAGTTTATTTTAATAAGACACCAATTCACGCTAGCGTTGTTATTTAGGCAACTTTAAATATTTTGTAATCATTAAATAAACAATTAAACTAGAAAAAAATAAGAACATAATCCAAAGTGTTTACATACTTTCATTATCAATCTAATATTGTAGGTACACACGAAAAGTATATATTTTTATTAGAAATATCTAGATTATAAGTTCTGTTATTCGAACTATCGTACCAATAATGATCTTTAAATAAAAGGGATGATTAATTTTATATTTGTTACCTATTCATATAACCTTACTTGCAAAGTGTATAGAAAAAATATATACAACATTTACTATTACACGAATGAAAACAGTTTTAGCCTCTTCATTTACTATGATACATATGCAAGCATGCCCATAGGTATATATACAATCCTTCTAAATTCCGTATATATTAACAATTTCTAAACTGCGAAACAAAAAATTCTAATTGCAAATCCTATTTAAATTTATGAAATTTTGCATTGAAAATTTTACCTTAAATTTTGTCTGAATTCCTATTTTAAAAAGAAAATGTTAACAATAATAACCCGGACCCAATATTATAACACAAATAATACTTTAATCACTGTCTTGATTTTATTTGACTTGAAAATTAAAACTATAATGTGTAGGAACAGACGAGGAAATCTCAAAGCGAACCGACAATGAGGCGACTTGGAGCAAATGCAATCACTTCTAATGCATTTCAAGTGTGAAGAGTGATTGTAAACTTCGTATTGAACCAAACATTTACTATAAAAATAAAAATATGATATATATGTTTAGTTTTAAGCGTCACATAAGAAATAAGTTTACTTTAATAACTTTTAACGGTGTATAAATTATTTATCAATAATTATTATACAAATTCAGAAATCGCTTTCAGTTTGAAAATCAGAAAAGCATAAAATATTTGATAATTACGTTTTTACACACAAATGGCATATTTTAAAGGAAAAAATAACCAGTCAAATAAATAAGACTCAATACATTATATTACCAGTTAATGATGCCAAAGTTAAAAAAGTAATATAAAGGTTACCCACACGGGGCAATAAATTTAGATTACAACCCTAGTATTGCAGACAAGTGCAAATTCTCATTTCAATTTCAATTTATTGACTGACTTTTTTATTGACGCGATCTTTAATTACGAAATACAATCCATGTTAGGCTTACCAAAAAAAAAATATAACCCAATAAAGTTTAAAGCATTGGTAATAAATCTGAATGTACTGAATAATTTTAAAAACTGTACTTACTAAAACTTTAGAGTTTAAATAAAAATTATAAAAAAGGTTATTGTGTTCAAGAAAAATTAAATAACCCTAATGCCTAATTTCAAAAAAACAGAGACTAAGTAGATGTAGACATCTGTAACTCCTTAGTCGATTGTTTTAATTAATATTAGAAATGACATTAAAAATATTACTTCATAAATAATGATCCTCTGTATTTTAAGATTGTCAATTAAATACGACTGTATAGTCAATATGTTTTCATGTATATTCAATCTACAAACCTTCCATTCTGTGGATGTGGTGACGAAGCTCTCTCTCCCTGCACCAAAAACAGGGAACCTCTATCCGCATCCAATAATATTGACACGTTTTGAAGAATCTTGTGGCATAGGACTCGAACTTCCAACTCGTTGCATATATCTTTTACCTATAACAATAATTTGCCAAATAATAAAAAATATATATCATAGTAATGCGATAAATCAAATACATTTCACAACAGCTTTTTATTTAACACTCTAAAAAAGTAGTAAATAAAAATCATTACTTAAATATCATCATTTATCTATATGACATGAAAAATATTCTACTCTGAATTATATTTCAATTCTTTTTATAAAAAAACTTTTTATACGTTTTATATAAAACATAACTATTGATTATCCATTATTCATTAAATTATTTAAATTCTTCTATTTTGTATCTAATTTTGAGAGTCCACAATAGTTACCAAAAAGTGGCCTATGAGTCATTATGTATCAAGAATTTTAGATAAAAAATTAGATTTTTATAACAACATCAAACCAGAAATGACAATTGTTAACTTGAACCAAAACTACCAATATATTTGGATATATGTACATATAAAAAAGATGAAAACATTTATTGCTATGTATTTTAAATATAAATTACTAACAGAAATTCAGAGAATTTAATTTCAAATTCATGATAATTCTAAAAGGAGCGAAAATTTCACGGAAAACGAAAAGAACAAATCAATGTATCTTTTTGATTAACGATAACATTTTCTTTTTTTTTACTTTTATAGTAAAATTTTTAAACTTCTCTGGAAACGTACAAAACTTTTATTATAACATTTTTTTATTAAAAAAAATTTATTCGTTATGATATTGAATAAAATACCGAGTCTCATTTCCATTTCGACGCAACAGAGTTTCTCAACTCATTTCCGAACTAATTTCCGTTTGTACAAACTGACGGGGGTTTACAATTCATTAATATTGTATGCAAATAGCGACACTCTCGTATACTACTGAGATACAAAACCGACGACACCTTTAAATGTCATAGGTATTTTGGTACGTAAAATTCAATCTCCAAAAATGTTAAATAAAACGACAGCAAAAATAGAACGGAATAAAATGCAATCACCATATTACTTTTCTACATACAAAAACCTTAACATGTTTGATTTTTCAGCACAGCATTATTAATTGTTTGTAAAATCTAAAAGTGTAATTCTGATTTTTTAAGACAAAATAAATGATTTGAAAAGTTATTTCAGTTAGTAGAATCAATTGTGTATCGTTTTTATGCACTAAAGATCTTGTGTAGTCAAAAGGCCTTTTGAGGTGTCACTACTGTGAAACGGTCTGGTAATTAAAAATGAAAATTAAGATGAAGTTAAGGAGGTACACGTGATAATAATAGTGTATTGTATGAAAAACATGTTAATGTAAAATTATTTTAATATTATAAATTTCGAAATATCAGTAGCGATTTATGAGAATGTAACTAAATGTTCTGTAAGAGTGGGCTCAAATAGTAGCAATTAGTAATATCTCAATACATTCTATTACTTCAAGGGACTGAGACAATCATTGTAACTATTCATTACTATATTTATTTGACAAATTTAAATCAAATCACGAATACAGCGACCAGTTGGTTTAGTTTATTTAGTATATTCTGGCGAAAGTCTTAAATCTCATTATGGTTTGGTTCTTAGTTTAGTTCATTGAATATCAAGGAAAGAAAAACGAGACTCTGTAATTAAATAGGGTTTTATTCTTAATTATACTAAAGCTTAGAATAATGATATAGTGCAGTACTTCTGTCTTTATTACCACCGTATACATGATAGATACCTACATACAGATAGAGAAACACCGACATTCAAAACAGAACATATTTATAAAAAATTTTATTAAATTTCAAAACTGGTTAAACAATAACATGAGTAATTTGTTCATCAGATGAGTTCATCAGAAATGTTTTTGTATATAACTTATTTAAAAGAGCAACATACAAAGAAAATAATGCGACCAAAAATTTTATGCTTATCTTTCAGTCTCTAATTGATAGAATTATTTTCATATACATACTTTCTTAATTTGGTTTTGTAACAAGAAATTTTTGCACTACATTGAGCTAAATAACGTTTTTTTTAAACTAGAATACAAAAATGTAGTATTAAAAGTATCTGTATTTTGTTAAGATTTGAAAAAATTACACGTAACTTTGTTGTAAATAAAACTTGGGTGTTTTAATGATTCCCCTCCCTCGAGACCGATTGATTAGAGTTAGCTTATAATATAAAAAAACTAATTTTAAAATCAAATGATACAATAATAATCAACATCTGTTAACGAATAAACAATCTGCAGACATACATAAGGAAATAATTACATATATCATTCACACGGAGTCTCTCGTACTTTGAAGAAGGTTAAAAGAAAATATCATAACTAAGGTTACCAACAAAATGCGGGACATTTGTATAATCCGTCAGGCAATTTATCTCTGTCCTGATTGATATAAGAGTTGATTAATAATTGACATCCTATGGGTCAAAGTTATGGCAAATTTAGGCTTTATTAATACGACATATAGAGATGTTAATGTTTCGGCTTTATATTTTTTTTTCTGATTATCTTGGTGCTATTTTCAAATGAATCTAGTCTTTTACAAAGATTCGTTCGTCAAAGTTTCTTGTAAAAAATCATGTAAAAGTTTTGAATGTATGCGTCAGAGTTCTCAAAATATATCTATCAGTTACTTAAGATGCCAAAATACTCGTATGTAAACATCTTAAATATCATATTTAAATAATACTACCTTTAACCTTAAAGTGATAGTCGGCGTATTAAAGGCTATTTATTTTTATTCTAAAATTTATTTTCGACACTCAAATGTAAAGATGCTCTTGAAAATGGAGAAAGTCCTTCGATATATGTATGTTACTCCAAAAAAATAAATTATTTACCCCAAAAGTTCCGGTTACTTTTGTCTTAAATACTTTTTAGTCGAGAATTTAGTGAACACATTCAACATCTATGGCATACTGTATTAGTTTACACCTCCTTTCAAATTTCATCACTATATATATATATATATATATATATATATATATATATATATATATATATATATATATATATAGATTTATATATATATTCTTTTTTACTATCTTTATAAAACTTTTATTTGATTTCCATTATTTATTTCCTTTCAAAGTCATACCACTTACATGATAATTGTGCGGAGAAAGCTTGTAGTGGATAACATTTTTTAGAAACACTGATTGCAATACTAAACAGAAAATACAAAATTGTATTATATAATGTACAGTTTAAATAAGTTCTAGAAACAAGTGAATAGAAACCTTTCAGAGTACATTCTCATTAGAGGATTAAAAACCTAAGTACCAATTTTATTACACTTCCATTCCCTTTATTTTAATCAATTAAAATTCATGCGTAAAACAGACCTCTCATGTAGTTTTAACATCTTGCTACTATTACATTTTTAAGTTATTTGAAATAAATCGATAACAAAAAAATATGGAAATCAACTTTACTTTCCTTAAAAAATGCGGTTATGTCGTTAAAATGCTACCCATACGAGCCCAAGACCCGATTACCGTATTGAGTACGTGCTAATGTAATTTAGCGAGTTGGAAGTTGGAGCATGTAACACGGATTAGCTGAAAACTCGGACGACCCACGTGACATAGTATTCGGGTTAACTTTATGAATCATTTACGTCGCGAGATACTTTAACGTCCCCGTTGATGTAAGCAGAACATCTTCTGAATAATCAACTTTTGAATAGACTTGCCAGACTCGTGACAAACCGGGTGTCATAAACATTGTTGTTGTTTAAAAAAAAAAATATAGCTATAAATTTGTAACATCGTAGATGAAAACGTGATTTTCGATGTTGAGACGTAATGTATATTTTATGATAATCAAAAAATATTACCGTCTCAGTTGAATAGTTGACATTATGACAATAAAATTTATTTTTAGTTGTTTTTTCAGAAGTCATTCTTTTGGATAAAACGTAAAACTCAGAGCCAAAAGGCTACGTTCTTAAGACGTCATCGTAGTACATTAACAAATTATAATCTTTTAAAAATGTACCATTATTTATGACTTACATAATAACAAACAGTTCTACATATACAAAAGGCAAATACATATGTATTAAAAGTTTTACAGTAAGAAGATTCTTACTGTAAAATTTGACACAGATCTGAAGCCTGAAGGAGGTCAATGGGTTAAGAATGATATTGGTACCCAATAACATGAGCCACGAGTTTCTATCACATTACATTGTAAAAACATCAGTTTTATTTCATTTTACGTAGTTTTTACAAAGAAATAGATAAATTTATAAACGTATCCTTAAGTATGTTCTGCTTTGTCATTCATTAAACATAAAAAACGTTGGCTTAAAATAATTTATAAAGTTTATATATAATTTTAACAAAAATAGAGATACTTACACCAATTTTAGGAAAAAGTTTTTCTAAACTGACCATTATATATTAAGGTTACGGTGTCAATGACTTTGCTTCTCAATTTACAACCATTAATCTATTGATTATGCAATTAAAGTATAAAGTTACATCTATTTGATATTGTATTATTAGTATGTGAAATACAAAAACCTTTGTAAAACCCGAATTGAAAACTTAAGAGTCTGTTATGAATATCATAAAAAAATTCTTTGAAGTCTTTATAAACAACGTCCAGAAAAAAATCCGCTTTAATGCAACTATATACCATACATATTAATGGGTCACATGATGTTTTTATTTTATAATTAGATTAGATTAGTTGAATGAGTATATAATATCATTGAATTCTAATGTATTTAAGAAACCACTTACGATTAATAATATTTCCAAAAGGAAAATATCTATAATATAAAGTAAATATACGTATATATGCTCATATAATAAATGAATTGCATCGTCAAACACACACAATACATAGCATTGAAACGTTTATAACCGACCGTGTGGGTGTGGGCGGAGTATAATTATCAAGCTGCACCGACATTATATTGATGACCCCAGGGTTTCGGCCTAAATTGCTACACATGTAAACACAACCGTTTCGCATCCCGGCCGTTTAACGACTGTTATCTAAACACGTGTTCTGCAATGTCAGATGTGTAGTGATATCTCTAGCTGTTCGAGACATCTTTATCAGACGTTATTTTTGTTTAGTTTAATTATATTACTATGTAAATTATTGCAAGAAAAGAATTAGAATCTCACCGACACTTCAATTAACTATCAATTGGAGTGGCAAAATTATTCAGTGAGAACCAACTTCACAAAATTTCACAAACATTTTGTTAGTTCATTTGTTGAAATAGTAGCTTTAAAATACCTCTTCCAGCTGGGCCAACCTTCAGTTACCCTTTCGCCTTCGTCTAATACAACATTCAACCTCTAAATATCTCTAGAGTACACAATAAAATTTTCATTTGGATGCAAAATAAAACACCCTATTATTTTATATTTGGAGTACTCTACGGTGATAAAAAATGTACTCTACACAATAAAGTATTGATAAAATCGTAAAACAAAAAACATGTCTGTTTTAATAAGCACAAAATACTTGATTATTTATAAAAGTACCTTTGAAATTACCTGAAAAAAATGTCTTAAGAGATACGAGTATATATAGTGAATACATTTTGAATGTCTTTAAAATTGTATTAGGTATTTTATAAAATCATACAATTTTAAAGACATTCAAAATGATTTTATATGTCTATAGTGCAATAGTACAAAGTGTTTATTAACAGGATTTTCCTTAACCAACTATGATAAGAATTTTGTAGGAGCAAAATACACAAAGGAAATTTAAATGAACATTTTTATACAATTATGTTAGTAAAATTTTAATTGAAATTCGCTACAATCGAGTAAGAACAGAATCGTTTCGAGTAAGAAGAGAATATTCATCTTGTATTGATTAAAGTAATAAATTATAATGGCAGTTAGTGATTTAAAACCCGAGCAACTATAATCATTTTTAAAGCCAATTTAAGGAAAGCCTTTACAACAAATACACAAACAGCGCCCAGCTGACACTCTTATCTCATCCATCTCTTAATGTACTTAAAACACTTTATCTTTCTCTTCCATTTAAAGTTATTCATTTACTAGGAATGTTATTATTAATAAAATTTTATATCTTTTTATATTCCTTATTAATTATTATACTCCTGCTACCAACGTAAGTATATAATACCTACAAGTTCATTACATACACAATAACTAAACTAAACGTAGAGATAAAGCACTTATTGTCATTTAAGGTAGATGTATCACAACAAAAGGAGCCGCATTTAATCTCGTGCTGTGATTTCTACCTGAAGCAGGCAGCCATTCAAACAAATTAAATTGTGAGGATTTACTGGTATTTGCTGTGGATTTACTCTCTTATATAACTTAAATATATACTGTTTTCTTCTAGCTACGCGACTCATATATGTACTTTTAAAATTTTATGAGATGAAACCTTTTAGCGTTCAATGGATTCACCATGAGGGTACCGGGTCTACAACAGTGCCTAGGACTTGTAACACAGGTGTAGGTTTAAGGGCCCCTATCTAACGAGAATTAAATGCATTTGAAAATAATCTACGGGGGCTGCCTTCGAAGAACGATCCAAGAATGAATTAATATTAGTTCTGAAGTAAAATTTTGTTTCTTACGAGTTCAAATATCAGTTCCTTCTCGTCCAGTTGTCGCAGCTCGTGTCGTGAACGTCTTTGGGGTCGTGATGGGGTCGCGTGCGGCTGGTCTCCAAGGAAGGTGGGTGTGCCATCTACAGTTGTCACTAGGGGCTTTAAAAGCCCCCCGCGTTCAAATTCGTGTGCAGAGATTTTCCTGTAGACAATTTAAAAAATATATATTACTTGGACGCCGATTTGCCCATACAGCTGAAATAATAAAATGGTATACACGTATTTTCAACACCATATACATAAATCCCTCTGTAATATCATAACTATTAACATCAAAACCGGACGAACAAAACGTAAGTCAAAAATGTTTTATTTATTTTTTGGTTTTCTTAATAGACTTGACATTTAAACGCATTCGAAACTTCCTTACAAATAGATTATTTTTACTGAATGTCTTCATGTAACTCAACAGAATGAAATAAAAGTAATAATAAGAAAATAATTTCCGAAACAGTAACGTTAGTAACGGCTGAATTTTCTCTCGGGTATATTAACAGTTCAAAAAGGAATATAAACCCTCTTCTCCCAACTGTAATTATTATGACACAATTATATTTTCTTATAATACTAAATAATCATTTAGAGTATCTCAGTATGTGCATACTTATCAATTTAAAAATGTATTCTTATATTTACTTCTGCAAACAGGAAAAGTTTTTAAATACGTTTTTTTTATAATCTGATGTATAAATCATGCAAATTAACAAATTTTATCTCCATTTACCATTCCAATGTTGATCTGTTTCATAGCAATATATTTGATCATAGATAGTAGTTATACCGCGGAGTTTTACCGAAATGTACGTGACTTTTGATATAACTTTAAAGCCATTTCTCTGACTAATTATAATATAAATTTAAAACTAAATTTCTATATCACAGCTTACAACTACCGTAGTGAATATATAATAATAATTACGGTTTGAGACATTGAAAGAATAATATTGTAGAAAAATTTCTACTTTACTATTTATTGATTAGCTCTCGTTACCAAGGAAATCATTAAATCTAGGTAAAAGAAAAGAAAATCATTATTCTAATCGAAACTCTAAGAGAAACGAACAATTAAATTATTTTAGTATTATTATTAATTAATTTTTTTCTGTTCGGAATATATTAATTAAATAAAAATTCAAAACCGGTACATATACTAATCATTAAATATGATACAAAATTTGTGGGAAGATTTACTCGACTTGATTGTTTATTAGTTCGCATAAAAATTGAAAATACTTCAAAATTAATCTAAAAAAATTAAACATACCAAAAACTTGCAATAAATGATTTTTTAGATTGTCAATAGAAGCAGATTATAAATCTTACATCTCGAGTAACATTTAAAATTCAGGATGTCAAAAGCAAAAAAAGCCTAACATTAGTTTGGAGAATTTAAACCGTCTATTGATAAATTATAATGATTGTTACCGTAGTTATGTAACTTACTGTAAAGTAATGATACTATACAATTAAAAATAAACATGAAAGTTTTAATCAATCAAATGTCTAAAAAAAATTGCTAAACAAACTTGAGTACATTTACCCCAACAACAAAGCTAAAAGGAAATATTCTGTTGATATTTCTAGTGAATTTGCAAGCATGTTCTCAATATAGTGTAAGGAGGTGACATAAGATTGATGATAGATATAAACAGGTTAAGAAAGGGAGAGTTATATACGGTCTAATAATTTGGTGCCGAAAATAGCTGACATTAATAACATTATACATTTTGTTTAGCAAATCAAAAATTTTATAAAAAACTAATATTAAAAAACAAATTAATGAATATTTAATAAACCTAAAATGTTCCAGAAATAGAACTCTATTACAGAACGTTGTTTAATGTTTTGCATTTAATGATTTAGTGATACCCATAAAGCTCCACCAAATTTAGATATTCAAATTGATTCAAAATCAAATTTAAATTTATCAAAAACTATATTACATTATGGAAACCAAATAAACAACATTCAAAGAAAACAGATAAAATAGATATTTAAATTATATTAATACATTTCTATATACGTTTTGCGTTCACACGCTATTTAGAATTTTTGTAATGAAAAAAAAATTATAATAATTTATAATATATGGAAGTTTTTGTTGGTCTGAAGATAATCGATTTTTTATATATAATATCTAATATATTAAATATATTTTAGTGTAGTTATTGTATAATACCTCACGGGTGTTGTCGCTCCAGAGCCTGAGCCAGCTCTAGAGGGCGAGGCTAGGTCAGCGCTGGGCGGCGTCGCGTGGGAAACCAGCCACGCGTCCACTACTTGCCTTGTAGCTTTCCTATTAACAAGAGAATAACTTCAACACTATATAATATCCTACAACTTGACGTGAATTCATAACTCAAATACGGAAACGAGATGAAATTCAATAAATATCTTATATGTATTTGTTTTACTTAATTACAAAGACAAAACTAATTCGTAGTATTATAAACATGTTGATAAAATATTATGTATATAAATTAATTTGAACATATAAGTGTGCATCACGACTGATCGAATTAAGATATATTTATACACATAGATCGTTGGCACGATAACACTTCCAATACTAATTGGCTTCTGAAAACACATAATGAAGCCTCGGGCAGTCTATTTTACTACATACGAAATTCTAAAATAAAATATTTTAGAATATTCACACGAGGATTACCCCAATTTCGTTCTCATAAAAAACACAGTGTAATAAATTATTCGTTTAAATCACAAGAATTAAGCACAAAAATAAATTTTTAATTATATGCATATACAAAAAAAGACATAATTAAAATAGGAATAAATTGATCTGTACAGTTATCTCTTAATCTGAATAAAATAAAACCGTATAAATTGAAGAGTTCGACAAACTTTTTATATATTATAAATTAATCTAGATAATCCATTAGAAAATATCAGACGACAATCTGGCGGCGATCATTCCAACGTTGCGTGTTCAATATAAATTATAATAATTTGAAATCTTAAACAATAATGCACAATTCTTGTGTCAGTGATTTTACGATAAACTCGACAGGACAATCAGAACGGCTTAATATAATTACATCATTGAAACTAACTTAATCTGTTGTATTCCGACTTAAAGCGGTTTCATCTGACTATAAATGTAATAAAGCGTTTATGAGATTGTCTCACTAAAGCTTCTAGAAACGCGTGTCCTTTGTACTTTCGTATTTACGTGGGATTCACTCCATTTAATAACATAAACCATTGTATTTCAACAATTGAACTACGATCTGAATGAAATATTTTTGCATTTTTATTTACATAATTAAAATAGATTTCTTTTGCAAATTTAAGACGTAGCATATGTTTTATGGCAAAATTATATTTTAAACACTCAGAAATATAACAAACAACTATTCTTAAATCTGGTTTGGAACCTTTATATTTATCATAGCCACTTTTCATTTTCTATAAAATATATACTTTTTAATCACGATTCCATTTGAGAGCTCAAAGGTTTGGTGCTAACTCGTAAGTATTTTAGTTAAACAGAGCAGCTAAACATTTACTCTAACGCCAATATTTATTTAACTTTACAACCACTGCATTACTAGCCGCATGTTGCAGTTTAAAAGACTTTATAAGTTATAACATACGATTCATTTAGAAATTATTGTCCTTCTTGTAATAAAATGGAAATAAAAATTTCTAGAAGATGTTTAAATCACTTCAGAAAACTGTTATATACATTTATTAATGCGAAACATACAGCTTATATTAAAATATGTAGTCTCGTATAACATTTTGGCAAAGCAGTTTCCATTGTTATATTGACGTAGAATGTATAAACGATAAATACCTTGTAAAACTTATTATAATATGTCATGGTTATTTAAAATATTTTAATCACATATTGTATTTAAACTATGGTAATGTCCCTACAAGGATTAAAAATAAATATTCTTTATTTTAAATAGTGGTATCGTTTTCACTTTGTAATATCGATAATGATTGCCATACTTCAGAAAAATAATGCAGTAAATGTCATATTGAAAAAAATCATTTAACATAAAATTGCCTTTTGGCTCAAATTACTTCAAGTTATTTAAATTTTCTTAACTCACTTGATGTTCGTATTCAGGAAGAGTAAGTACGAATTAACATTAAGTATGGTAAAGTCAAGTTATCTTCAACAGGAAGTTTTGTACCGGAACAGAGATCATTTATATGGATTAAATCTTATTACTAACCTTGACAATACTAGTCATGAGTTCAACGTGAATTTATTAAAATGTCGCTTTATTAATACGTAAAACCATATAAGGTCGGAAGGATGTGTGTTACCGGCTCTGTAAGGCAATTCCAACTAGCATAACTAGTCATATTTACGTTCAATATAATTTAACAATGACTTCATATTTATAAAATATATATCTTAACAAATATCTAACAAAGCATCACTACGGAAAAATACCATAGATAACTAGTATGTACATAATTTATATTTTAAAATATATTTATTGTACAATCAATCAAATTCTTCAAATATTTCATATTATAATACAATTTAAGTGGTCAAAGTTTTATCATTCATTAACTTGGCCAGAACCAATATATTTAAAGTTACTTTCACTTTGCCCTTTACCAACAATTCTGATTAGGTTTAACGTTTTTGCGGTGTGCGAGGTTAAGGAAATTCTTAAGCCCTCTTTGTTAACTAATTCCGAGAAGTGAAAAAGGTTTTGTGTGGTAAAAAAATAAATAAAATAAAAACAATTTGAAGTCGAAGCTAACTTACTTTTACTTAAGGTAGAATTTAAATGAGAATTAGAGAGGAATGCTAAAAGGTTTCAGATAATATATAAAAAAATAAAATATTGTTATAGAAAAAAATATAAATACGTGTAAACCAATTCCTTTTACAATACCTTAAATCATAATGTAATTTTATATTTTTAGGATTTTTAAGAATCATTACAATATGTAACGATTACTATTAAACTGGTCGTCATGCTAGCACTAACATATCAGCAATACAAAGGATAGTTAACAAAATGAGCCTAAACCTAACTTTCTTATGTTGAATAGTAAAAGTTTACCTTAAAAAATAATCATGAACGAACTCCTGATTCTCATCAAGCCAGGCCTCTGTCCTAACGCACTCTGCATCGTAACAGGTAGGCGCGGGCATACCACCCGCGCCCCCTGGCGGCTCTTCTATACTCCGCAGCTGTAGACCTGTAACAACAGAGACAAGGATTATTGTATATTCTATTAATTATTCTATAGGCTTTCGTAAGTTAACATTAAATTTCTCTAGTTTCACTAAGTAGTGCGACACGGAGGGTTTGTTCAATAATTTTATTACCTTGTAAATTTATTTCTAAAAATACATTTATGACAATTGTATGATGTGTATTATCTTATATGTATTAATAGGATTTAACAAGCAATTCTGTGAAATTCAAGTAAAATAAGTAAAAGTTTTTATATATAACGTACTAGGAAAATCTATGCACAACCAATCGCAAATTTTTAAACAATTTAAATCCATTTTATTATGAAAATCATGAAAATAACAACTTCACATCAATGTCATTTGACATATTTTCGTTTATTGATAAGTAATGTCACGTATGTAAGCGTGAAAGAGTTTAAATTGTTTTGGATTATTAAAGGAAAAAATATTACTTAAAATTTTATTCGATAATATAAAGAAACATGAAACCTAAAGAAAATAGACAATAGCTTGTAAAGGATATATTTGTTTTATTACAAACAATGAAGTATTTTGACGTAAATTATGAGATGCGCAAGATGCAAGTGGCAATTATTAATTTGTTGAAAACTCCAACAAAGTTCGCCTCCAACGTGAATGCATGCTATGTGAAGCAAATTTGTTTGTTCAACTACTTTTGTTTGGCGGTTTCTGCTTCACTTTGAAACAATAATTAAAAATTTTGGTCCGTATCAAAGCCATATTGTGTCATTAAAACCGATAGATATAAAAAATACTAAACCATATACAAATTTATTCATATAATGAATTTATAAGTGCTATAAAAGGATGTTTAGATATGTATCGAAAATACAAATAATCGTTAAAATTAAAATTCTCACGGAATATCAAAAAGTATTTTAGAATATAGCACAAATTAAAATAAAAAGAGCCGTTGTGTCAACAAACTTATTATTCGAATGCTAACGACATATTCCTATCTCTTAATTGCAATGAACACGCTACGATGGTGGTAGCCATACTATCATATGAGATCTGTTAGTTTCCAATTAAACTGGCAAGGCACGTTTACTTTCGTCTAATTGAAATTGACACGACTCATCGCATGCAAATACACATTCACGTGAATTAAATACCTTTTCGCATATCATTTACACGATTTTACTAATTGTTACTATATATCTATATATATTTCTTTGATAACAACTTTTTTTTATTATATCCAACGTTATTTAAGTAACAATTATACTATGAATATATTCACTTGTTAGCTTTTGCAACCTACCAACCTTTCTAAAACCTCCAAGTGAATGACGATAAAAATCCGTCAATATCTTTGAAAATTGTTTTTCCATTCTCGTAAAACTGCAGACTATTCATAATTTTAATTAAAAGAAAATTTCATCAAGCATTTGTGGAATTTCGTGGGCTTTCAATGGTAGACTTTAACTCTTGTGCCGAATACAAAATCGGTTAGTGTATTAAAATCTGGCTTGGTTTGTATTAGCATAGCTAATGTATTTTCGCCCTTATTGCATTATCTATGTAAATCCCTCGATCCAATAAAGGATTTAACGCTTTTCAATCCAGCTTTTATTTGTTAAATGTCATTAATTGGTTCGTCACGAACTTCGTATTTCAATACGATTTTGGTGAATAGAATGACCAAATTATGATGTATAATATTTCTTTTTGTAAAGTCCCATGTATTGTATACATAATAAGTTTATTGTTCACAAAATAACTTTGAAATCACCGAATTCTTTTATTACATCTCTTTGTTTTACATTTTTATTAAGTTCAGAGAAAAATAAAATAGTTACGGAGGAAAATTTTTAAATACAATGTTTTCACGTAACGCATTCAACGTTTTAATATAACAGACACTGCAATTATAAGCCACATTTTTAAAACAGAATAAAACATTATATTCAAACAATAAAAGTATGATAACACGTTACAAATGAAATAAGTAGCTAAGAAAGAGAGCTCTTAGAGAAATGCAAAGTAAATTCATACTACCATAATAGCAACGCTGCCCAGATATATTATAATAGAGTTAGTTCAAACTTTTGTCTCGAACAGTAACATGGTATTGAAATAAACTGTCTCTTTTAATAATATATGTATATCTTTAAGTTAACCAACTTTATAACTAAAATATTTATGTCCAATTATAGCGTCTGAAGTCAAAAACCCTTATAAAATTTGCAGCCAAACAAAATATAATTTTCAAACGATCAAAGTTGAACTGCATAAGAGAATGAGGAAAAATTTATGTCCAACATAAAGACGACAAGTTCAATAAACCTAGATATTTGAATACTTAGAATAATTCTATTGTCTGTAGCACATCATTGCACCACTTCAGCAAGCTTTTGAAGTAACAATTTTATGCGTTTATTCAAACGAACTTAAAGTAATTTCAGTATTTTATTGCAAAAGTTTTTATGTTTTTCCTATTGTGAAGCGAAAACTTAGAACTTAAAAGTTTTTAAAAATATTGATGACTCGATAGTCGATATGTAAAAAAAATATTTTGCAAGCGAGGAAAGTTGATGAACGAAAAAAATATATATTAGTTAATAATTTTAAAGATGCTCATCTGCAGTACTGAAAACCTCTCTTCCGAGATGACTACATTGGGTAACACAATAAAAAGGAAAAATAATTTAGCTAAATCCATAAACGAATTTGGTTAACGATACTAAATCATCATAATTAATTCTTGCAAGTTAAGAATTTACGTTTTATAAGGCTCTTGGAAATACCATATTGGATTCAAATAAAAATTATACGCTATTAAATTCTTGCCAACAACCAAACATGTGATCATGGCTGTTCCCCTAGGAACCCGACGTGAATTGTGTTTATGAGTTTGGACGCTGACGCGAGAGTGATCAACATCAAACCCGCCTACTCATTGACGTAGTGTACACCGAGTCCCACAAGTTCTGTTACACATATTATACACATATAACTCATTCATCATTGCAGTGGAATGTCAATCCATATACATTCAACATATGAATTAACTTCATTGAAGCTCCGATCTAATAGAATATTTCTAAATCGTTATCTAAATATTAAAGGTTATCGACCAAATGCTAATAAAAAGCTTGATTTCGATAAGAAACCTAACTGTTCGACTAAAAATTTTATGTCATTAATTATTTCAACATAATAATTGATCTATTTACATAAAAACTGATTTTATTGCACGCATTTATTTTGATATTTTGTCTTATTATTAAAACAGTTTATCATAGAGAAATAAAATTTATAATCATCTTCGTTGTAAAGTTTTTCTGTCATAGTTGGCTATATACTATGATCGTGAGATAATTTTTAAAAATACCAGTTTGTATATTTAATGTGTTAGGTTATGGATCGACTAGTGATTATGGTAATACAGATATTTGATATTCTTTTTTTTTATTATAACAAGGACAAGTGTATAATCACGAGTTCTTGACCTCAATTGGCTCGTTACAAGTCTTTTAGATGTACTTTAATATTTAAGATCATCCACTTAGCGATCTTGTTAGGAAGAGTTATTTTCCTCGAATTACATTTTTTGTATGTTCACTGAAATATGATTCATTTACAGAAATATATTAAAACTAACAGTTCTTTGTAGGTCAGGTTAGTAAAATGTTTAAATTTATTAGGATCCATGAAAAAGAACTTTTCTAAGGAAAAAACATTTCACTATGGAGCAAGTTTCATTTTTAGTTTTTGTTGTGTCAATTTATTAAATAATCAAGGAATAAGATAACTCAGAACTGGTAGATAGAACGTGTTGTTGTAGATAGGAATGTAAACAAAAGGTCAAAGGGTCATTCATTATAGTTTGTGTTACCACATCAATTAATTGGTTTTGACATTAATAGGAGTCGAAAAAAATATAAAATTTTCCTAAAATTATCAATTCGCTTTTAAATCAAAGCGAAACCAAAATATTTAATGATATTTGTAAACATTAAATATAAATAAATTTTGTTTGTCCATGTTATAATTTTGGCATTTAAATACCAAACTTACCTGTTTTTATTTTTTTGCAAATATTCTAACAAAAGCCCAAAATACATTTTAAAACCAAATTACTTTATAACTAATATAATTTTACAAAATATATAAGTATCATTTATTTTTTGAAAGCAACCAATGCTCCGTTTGTACGTTGAATTAAAAGTATTCAAAAGCCAAAAATGACATTATAACTATCACTTACGGCTACTTGAAAAAAACAGCAATGAGACCACTAGGTTTATTCTAAATCTATTCTCGGGGCTAAATTGGACTTATTACAATTCGTTACTTATTTCGGTAATGATTAAAACATAATCGTTTTCAAAAAAAGCATTGTATCATTTGATAAAATACCTTTAATACCTGATAGAATTTCAATTTAATATAAAAGATTTTACCAAATTGTATTTCATTTGAACCATCTGTAACCATTCCTTTACTCTTATTCAAAAAACTTATTAATCACATCCATTAAAATAGATTTTGTATAGTTCATCTTACAGATGTCGATATTATTTTAATGGAAAATTAATATTAAAAAGTCAAGTAACGAGCACTTACGTGAAGTTCAATTTACAGAGACCAAACCACTCGACCAGATAACATGATGCCCAAATATACGGCCTCGTAAAACGAAGCTCGTTTTAATATGCCATAAAACTCTGTCCAATATTTAAAAGGATATGAAATCGGCTAGGCATTGCTATAGTAGACGTGAACCAACATATTTTTTAAAGGGAATAAAACGTTGCAGTTTCAACTCTATGGCGATAAAAATTTAAAGGTAATTTCAAACTGTTGAAACGTGCTTCATGAATTTGTTTTAATGTAATAATTTTAAAACATCCAATACAATATTAGGTATTGTATTTTAAAATTTTACTTGCGATATTGAAACTCGGTTAATCTGATTGTATTTTTTGTATTAGAAAAATTACTAAACAAAAAATTTATCTAATTTATATAG